AGGAGACCGGTCCTAGTGTTTAGGGCTTAGGGTTGAAGTAGGTTTAAGGTTGAAGTAGGGCTTAGGGCTGAAATAGAGTTCAAGGTTGAAGTAAGGTTTAGGGTTGAAGTCGGGTTTTTTGACACTCACACTCGGACAATGCCTGGCAAGGGGTTTAGGGTTCAAGGTTGAAGTAGGGTTGAGGGTTTTAGGGTTTAAGGGCTCGTATATAGGAATTATAGGGTTTATGGATAGAGTTTAGGGTTTAGGGTTTAAGGGTTTAGGGTTTAAGGTAAGGGTTTGGGTTTGAGGGTTTTGGGGTTTTAGGTTTCGGGTTCAAGGGTTTAGGGTTTAGGGTTTGGGAAGGCGGTATATAGGGCTTAAGTTTAAGGTTTGGGCTGCGGTTTTAAGGTTCAGGGTTTGGGAAGGTGGTATCGTCGGGGCATGTAGGGCTGTGATAATTCGAATGGGGTTTTGCGGCATAGGATGGAAATTCTCGACGACGCCGCTTGCAAACCCAAATGCTTTACTCAAACCCTCCTGGAGCCCAATGCAAGAGCACCGGGACTGTTCAATCATTGGATATCATTGGCGTTGTACTCTGAGTTCAGGCTATCTGAGTCTGGAATTCCAAGAAGCTGCAGGAATTGCAGCACGAAAGCTCAACGAGAGTTTGTTGCTAGTCATCATGCGTGATTCGGGTTTGGGGTCCCGGGGACTACCATGACTATCAATACCTGCCAATTTAAACCCGAATGCAGAATTACAATACATATATATATATATATAAGTGCCTGCACCAAAAAAGTCTTGGTAGGTTAAGGTACCATCTTTGGACGATGTCTCTGTGAAGTGCCTCCAAGTTGATCCCCTAAACCCCGGATCCGTTCTCCTTTGATGGTTTATGGCTTAGCGCCTCAAAGGTCGAAGCTGAAACCCAGAGAGACCAGCATCCCTTTAGGTACTTATCTAAATTAGGGTCCTTTTAGGGTTGAGGGTTTAGGGTCCCCCCAAAAAGTACGGCAGCCTTGCACTGATTTAGAGAACTACTCCTTTACTTTGAGCTGCCAGAACTTGCTTGTTGTAGGGCCCCTGTGAGTTCTGTATTGGGGTTACTGATACAAGTCTAAGAAAAGTAGGTGATGACAGTTTAAGGTAAATAATACCCTAGGGGTCACTGCACTATGCAGAAACTTTAGCCGGCAAGGGGCTTCCAAGAAGGTACTTGCGGGGTCCATGCATATGCTGGATGGGTATATATGGACCCGTAAACCCTACACTTTTGTTGCCCTCATTAAAGGCCCTAACTGGGCTTTTGAAGTAGCCAGGGAGAAAACAGCATAGACTTTTTTTCTAACGGTCCCCTTTAACTAACAGGTCCCCAAGAAAGCATTAAAGTATGGTGCTCCCAAGCCCAGTTAAAAGAACCCCTTCAATGGGATGTGTGACATGCTTGCCGAGGATCAAAGAGCGCATCATGGCAGGGGGGGCGATGCGGCAAGCTTCAATGTCCCGAGTTTCGGGGGCGGGAAAGCTTTGAGCCAACCAAGAGATCGATTCGCGGACTATGCAGAGGCAAGCAAAGGTTTTGGGGTCTGGGGGTTTAGGATGATTGTGGCTGTGTCGATAGCCGGAATGTCGATGACTTTGGCTGCGCAACCCTGTTCTGATGACTGACATCGTCATATGTTGATCTTGGTGGCATGGTTTACTTGTTGTCATTTCTTGCACTGCTGCTGCGTAAGAAACCGTCATATGATTACGCACACATGCCATTAGCGTTACCACAAGCATCAGCAACACAGTCAGCAGCCACATCGGCGTCATGGTACTACTTGGTCCATGCCATTATCATCAACAATAGCGCCTACTAGCAAGCAGCATCTTCATCATGAGGTTACCAGCGAAATGTTAAACCGTAGCAGTGTGTTCGGCTAGCCTTCTTGACCCTCATGGTCGCGAATACTGCTACTCTTGCTGCTAGCATTAGCCGGGTGCTGGCAATGCCGACTCAAATGTCTCGCCATCACAAAGCAAGCTGCCAAACACTGCCGTGTCATTGCGATTTTGTTTCCTACCATTGTCGTACTGGCAATATGGGGTTTTGGTATGTAATGAACAGGCTAGTGACAGTGCCTCCCCCTCCCGAAAAAAAGCCAACAATCCAGCCAGCTTCCAATTGTGAAGTAGCTTGCTACCCTGGGCCGGAGTGCGGGCTTATTCGGGTAAAGTAGAGATCGACTAGAGATTTGGGTATATTAACTATAGTGATACAAATTAAAAGGAACCCTAGGGAATAATGTTTGTAGTTATTTAAGCGTCCATGCTCGGTTCAGCTTGCGAGTAAACTGACCATGCACTCCTCACGCCTGCTTCATCTGCAGGCGCATCGCGAGATCACGATCAACCTTGACGTGGCGACGAACGATGTAGTCTGTCGGCATGTCATAGGCCGCCTGGCTAGGGTGCCCACGTCTCTAAAGTTGAGCCCTAAACCCTTCTAATCTTGCACGACAACTCCAAAATGCGAGGCATGCGTGCTCTTGACGGCGGTGGGGCTTAAAGGCCTAGTCGCCAACACATACTCAGAAGCCATACACTGCCCCAAATCCCCAAGGCAAAGGCCTGGAAGAACCGAGCTAAGTCCTTCGAGAGCTTCCAGACGATAATCCGAATAAGGAGGCCTCGAGAAAATCTACCGAACGAACCTCCGAAATCTCCGACTCGCCTCTGCCGGCAATGAGACGTATTTCATGAGGCGCTGCAAGGCATTCAGCACGTTGAGCAGGTGCGTGAAGGTCATCGAACTCGGAATTCCAAGGTTCGTGGTTTGGGACTATGAGCTTCGGATTTCATTGCCAAAGAAGCTCAGTACCTCTGCCTTAAGGGTTTAGGGTTTAGGGGTTTAGGGGTTTAGGGGTTTAGGGGTTTAGGGATTTGAGGTACATGGTTTCACTTTTCAAAGGATACAGAGCTCGCTTGGTGGACGATGTGTCAAATTCCAACCCTACGAACTGAGAGCAACCAACCTCCCTTTCTATCTCTGTGTACCCTGGGATAATAGGCTGCAGTATAATCTGCCCGAGCACCCAATTCTACTTACGTAAGCCCTCGTGCAAACCTTACAAAACAACTAAAACAACTGAGCTTCGGGGAGGACACATATTACTAGTAGCTGGTCGACTGGAGGGACACAACCCGAGGGCAGTAACCATGCCGGGCTCAGGTGTAGATTGGTTAAAAAAAGATTCAGGGTTAAGAGTCTACCGGTTCAGGAGGGTTTCGACTCACACACTCGCTTTCCGCTGGCATGCTTCTGGTCTCTAGGGTTTCGGAGTTTAGGTTAAGGGTGGCAGGCTTTGACAACCGCTGGTGCTCGCAGTAGCTTTCAAAGACAGTCCATGGTGCTGGCGGGGGATGCACTGTCCGAAGTTGTTGCCGAATAAATGGTCAGTTCTGGGGGGGGGGGGTTAGGGATTACGGAGAATTGGGCCTTTACACCCTCAAGGCGAAGCCCTAAACCCTTACCCGCTCAATTCGAGAGCCATCGTGCACATCGTATAGGGACCTGAAGAATTCGAATAGGGTTTTTGGGTCATAGAATGAAGCTAGACTTCGAATATGAAACCCTAAGGAGCAGAATTCCTCAACATTCAGGCTCGTAGTAATCTAGATTCGAGATGTAGGACTTCAGAAGGAGGAGCTGCAGAAGCCGTACTAGCCCGAAAGCCCATAACATCGGGCGCAGAGTGTCTTCATGCTTAGAATCGGCGTTCCCCTTGTCCACCCCAGATAGTTCTTCCTCGATGGAGGGCCTCACTCCTCGGAATAAGGCCTTGGGGCAGATTTGGGAGTTTCCGAAAATGGGGGACCCTAATATGGTACCCTAAATAGTGGATCCTTATTAGAAGGACCCCAAAATAAGGTACCCCTAATCTTCGGAAATCCCCATTTGGTTCAACTCAGCTCAAAGGCTTTCGGTTTTCGTCGACAGGGTGCCCATCGCCAAGGGGGCGTATCGAAGGCAGCTCGGCGCAGCCAGTATACTTAGGGTGTTTTTAAGCGATGCGAAGTATACGGGACTCTCATATCCTCATAGGGAACCATCAGGGGCCAACTTTTTAAACCTAGACCCTATATATTACTCCTACACCCCAAACCCTCATCCCTCTGCAGCATGGGCTTGGATTGTGATGATCACCCCCAAACCCTGATCCCAGACCAAAACTAAACACTTACAGTAGACCCCAAAGCCTGACCCCAAGCTCAGGTCGCGACATGCCCTCAAACTGTCCCATCTGGAAGAAGCAAAAGCCCACGCAGGTTGCCAGCGTGCCCAGAGGCACTTGCGCCCAGAGCCCGCCAATGGCAAGGATGGCGGTAAGCGCGCCGAAGCACAAGAAGACCTTGCCGGAACTAAGTACTGGGGGCTATAGGGGGCTCATGTTGAGCTTTTTTATGGACTGTAGGACTTTAGGGTGTTATATACGACGAAGGCTTCAAGTCCATGCGTGGGCATTGGAGCTACCTTCACCCTGCGCCCAAGCTGAGGATCCCAACACCATGAAACGTAAACCTCAACAACCTGAACCCTAGCGCTCTGAACTCTAGACCAGACCCAAAGCCCTCTAAGCCCTCTAAGCCCTACATCCAACAATCGGGCTCAAAGGCCCCCTGAACCTCAAGAGGCCATCCAGGATCTGCCAACCCTGCTTAGTCTACGTCATCGGGGTGAGGGTTCCATGTGGATCCCGAATGAACGCCAAGGAGTCCTATGATGCCCAACACACCTTTCCGCTCGAGACTAAGTTCTAGAAGGGAGAAACACAGACTCAGATCGTTACGAAACAGGTGTGCCATCGAAATACTGAGGTCTTTGACGCCCGCAGGAGGTGGCTTCGCTTCCTGAACATCAACAGCGTAACCTTAAGTTGCTTAAAGCCCTCTTGCTCCACTTGATAACCCGAGAGCTCATCGTCTTCACGACCTGTAGGAAAACTGTGCCCGCACTCAGATTTCGATCACTGTCTCGGTGATGTCGCTGAGGATGGGTACAATGCACGAAGCTGCACTGGGTCGATTCCTCCAGGATCGAGCAGCAAACGGCCACGATGCTGAGGATGAATCTTGTACGGGATAGCACGTGCATCCAAGAGTCTCTGGACTGAAACCTGGATCTCCAAGCCAGTGGGTTGCCCGGGCATGCAGGATATTCTATCTGAGCCTGCGATAATTTCGAGCGATATCGATGCATGTCTCGGCATCGTGGCAAGCTGCTGCGCGACAACCTCCGCGAGCCACCACGACACAGCAAGCATCGCTGAACCACAAGAGTGGTCACGCAAATCTAGCCAAGCTCCACCTTGGCGCAACATGTCTGGCCATGTCTTGTCCTGCATGGCTTGATCAAAAAGCTCGAAACTGACCGGCTGGGGCAAAGCTGCTTCTATGGTTTGCCCATACGAAGCTACACCTGGCTGTAGCTGGTTTCCTCGTATTGAGGCAAAAAGCTGCAAGGCCAGCTCCCAGATGCGGGCTGCGCCACAGGATTTGATGCCAGCGCAGAAAGTTATCTCATTCGGTACGATTGCGGCCGAAGGCATCTGTGTCAGCAGGTACAATGCCATCTGCCACTCGCCACCTTTCTCACAGGCACTGATGCAAGCATTGAAACTCCTCCGATCCGGGACAACCGCTACTACCGCCATCTGTGACAGCAAGTACAGCGCCATCTGCCACTCGCCACCTTTCTCACAGGCACTGAGACAACCAGGGAACATGTACTGACGAGCTCGACGAACCGTCTTCTTGGAAAAACAAGCTGCCGGCAACTGTGACAGCAAATGCAGTGCCATCTGCCAATCGCCAGCTTTCTCACAGGCTCTGATGCCGGCTTTGAAACTGCTCAGTTTCGGGACAGCCCCGGCTGCCGGCATCAGTGACAGCAAGTATATTGTCATCTGCCACTCGCCACTTTGCTCACATGCACTGATGCCTGCATTGAAACTGATCTGATCCGGGACAACGCCGGCTGCCTGCATCTGTGACAGCAAGTACAGTGCCATCTGCCAGTCGCCACTTTTCTTACAGGCACGCATGCCGGCAGTGAAACTCAACTCAGCCGGGACAACCACGGATTCCGGCTTCTGTGACTGTGCCGTATGTCTCTCGCCACCTTGCTTTTCAGCACTCGCTCTCGAGAGGCTCTGGCAAGGTTGCCCTCCTTTCTTACGGACACGCTTCTTTTTAGCGCTCGGCCAGCCTTTCTTGCGGCGCATGGCTGCATCAAAATGTTTCTGTGTTTGCCGATCCGGGGCAAGGCGGGCTGAGGGCATCTGTGACAGCAAGTACAGTGCCATCTGCCAGTCGCGAGCTTTCCTACAGGCACGCATGCCGTTTCTGAAACTCCTCCGATCCGGGACGGCGCCGGCTGCCGGCATCTGTGACACCAAGTACAGTGCCATCTGCCAGTCGTCAACTTTCTTACAGGCACGGATGGCAGCATTGAAACTGAAACCATTCGGCACAACTCCGGCTGCCGGCATCTGCGACAGCAAATTCAGTACCATCTGCCACTTGCCACGCTTCTCACATGCACGGATGCCAGCATTGAAACTGATCTCATTCGGCGCAACTCCGGCTGCCGGCATCTGCGACAGCAAAAACACAGCCATCTGCCACTCGCCACCTTCACCGCACGCACTGATGCCAGCACTGAAACTGATCTCATTCGGCAAAACTCCGGCTGCCGGCATCTGCGACAGCAAAAGCATAGCCATCTGCCACTTGCCACGCTTCTCACACGCACTGATGCCAGCAGTGAAACAGACCTCATTCGGCGCAACTCCGGCTGCCGGCATGTGCAACAACAAAAACAAAGCCATCTGCCACTCGCTACCGTTCCCACACGCACTGATGCCTGCACTATAGCTGACTACATCTGGCGGAGTGTGGAATGTCTCCATTTGCAGCAACAGTGCCAGCGACTGCTGCCACTTGAATCCACGTCCACACGCCGTGATCGCGGCATTGAAGCTGCGGACGTTAGGAGTTTCACGATTTTTCCTCGTAAACATGTTCGAGAAGATTTGGAGAGCTGCCTGCCACTGTTCTGCTCTTCCGCAAGCCACGATCGCATTCCGGGAAGCATACTGCTTCTTTCTTTGCGCATTCTGTGCGAGATGAACTGCAAGCTGCCAATCCTGAAGTCCGCTGCTTGCCACTACCTTCTTACCCATAACCGCCAAGCTCTCTCGGGCGAGCACAAGACGGCATCGCTGATGACAAGCTCAGGCTTAGATTCCCACTTCAAGATCTGAGACTTCGTGCCAAAATCACGTGTGCTATCTGACTCTTCTTTCTACACTTACGAAATACCACGATGCTACAGCGCGGCAAGAGCGAAGGCCACTGTAAATGAGAATAGATCAGAATCGATCAGGACCTCTTTGAGCCCGGAACCTTGTGACTCTTTTCAATGTTATGTGCAGCTGCAATGGAAGCTTGTTGAGACCTTCCGGGTATTCATCCCGGAAATCTAGAAAAGAAAACTGAGAAAGACACATACGAACGTCAGAGTTGGGTCGGCGGCATCGCCTGTTACTGCGCTTTCGGTCTATCAGTGGTCCGCCACATGGTCTCTAGACGTCTCTAGAAGTGACTATAGGTACTTCTTGAAGACAACCACCACAAGGCCCGTCAGGAGTTCAACAAAAACTGCAAGAATAAACATCAATGTATGTGGCATGCCTCGATGTATTATATGTGCACGCTGGTATGCAAATATGCGTGCATGCACAGATGGATCGATCGACACAGCCATTGTGAGCCGTTGCTGTGCTCGGCCCCATGTTTCTCACCAATTGGCTACAGTAGAAGCCAGAAAGTTGGAACATCGTTATCCTCATTCCCTTAAGCTAAAGTAGAGGGAATCCCAGCACTAGTTATCCTCGATCCATTTTCCAACTTTCTGGGGTTCACTCTATATTATATGGGTGCATGCACCGATGATTTGTTGGACATGGCCACGGTGAGCGATTGCTGCATACTGCTGTGCCCGACCCAACGTTTCTCATCAATGGGTTTCTGGAACTGTCAGTCAGAGCTATTTGCATCACAGAAGGGCAATCCTCCAATAAGGATCCGCAATGATCCGCATGCACTCTCTCCTAGACTTAAACGTACAAGACCGGATGTATGTGCACGTTCACGTCTTTCACTGGCTACATAGAATAGCACGGTCACGGGCGATGCCCTGAATCCAGGCACGAGGAGTAGGGCTTTCCGTGATGCCTATATCCTATATCCTTAAGGACGAACTGAACCCTAAAAGGGTTTAAGGTTCATATACCATATAGGGATTCATAGTATATGGGTATATAGGGCCCCTGCTTTTAAGGGTCATTTGGTCCTTCAGGATAGCAGAGGCGCGCATGGTGTGTCAGTTCTGCCTCTGCTCGAGAGTTGAGATACCAATACCCCCCAATACGTTCAAAACAAGATAGGGGTATGACTTGGCTGAATTGAGAGGTGTGGGGCTTCCGAAACCCCACTCCCCGGTATGAGCCCTAAAAATCCAGACACTGCTCCGTAAACCCTACAGTACACCCTGATCTCGTTTTGCTACTGCACTCCAGTCTAGCCAGACCACGAAAACCCTGAACCGAAACCCGAATCAGTCAACTCTAGCCTAAACCCCTAAACCCCAAACCCCTTAAGCCTAGGTCGTGAGCCAGTTGAACCACCGAGGCCCGGACCCGAGATTGTGCCCAGGCCCGGCAGACGTAGAAGATGAGATACCTGGGAATTGTCGGTTTGGATTCCTTTCAAAGGATTGAGGCTTAGGGTAAAGGGTTACCATAAGGGAGTTTCCGAAAATAGGGGACCCTAATATGGTACCCTAAATAATAGGATCCTTATTATAAGGACCCTACCCCTAATTTTCGGAAACCCCCATAAGGTTCTATCAGATACCTGGACTTCTCGGCTCGGGCTTCCTGAACAGGGTCATTAGCGGGCTTTAGTTTAAGGGCTCCTCAAAGGGTTACCGGAGGGCTTTAGGTTAAGGGTTCCTCAAAAGGTTACTATAGAGCTTTATGCTAAGGGTTACTAGAGGTGTTAATGGTAAGGGTTCCTCAAACGGTTACTGTAAGGGGTTAGGGGTTAGGGCTCCTTAAAGGGTCAACTTCAGGTACAATGAGGGTTTAGGGATGAGCTGCTCTGGCTAAGTCTTGGGCTTTATACGGATCACGGAGTCTAGGATATAGCTTTAGAATGCTTTAGAAGTACCTCGGCCAACAAATGAAAACCAGTGACATGGGCCTGCCAGCTTAGGGCTTGGGAGGGTCTGAGGGTCTTACGCTTTCGTCTAAAGGTCTTATTAGGGTTTGCGGTCTATAGGTCTTAGACTGCAGAGCAAAAATGGTCTTAGGGAGTCGGGTCTGGAGGTCTTGGATTTTGGGGCGCTTGGGGTTTATGTAGGGCGTCTCGGGCCTCTCGCGCTCTGTTTCGAGTTCCGAGTAGGAAGCTAGCATCAGCTCGGCTTGTAGACTGTAAGGAAGGTATGTATAAGATCCCTACCACCTACATAGGTTAGTCTACGGGATTCGGTATTTCCTCCTGATTCTGGTCTGTTGAAAGGAAGATAAGTAAGTTGAAACGATTTTCCAGAACAGCAGGTCCAGTGCCCGCCGTAGAGGCTCTAAGCCCTGACGGCAACGAGTCCTCTTGCTCCTAAAGACGGTACTGAAGGAGCCTCCGCAGTTGGAATAAGGCTTTGGGATAGCTGTATACAGTATATTACTGACATTACTGAGCCGAAATACTAGTATTGGCAACTGTTCAAGCACCTATAATGCTTCGTATGTCCAGAATCGCACGCCCAGTTCAGTCCCTTCCTTGACAGCCAGAGGAAAAGGCTAGCAAACCTTGGAGGGTTTAGGGCGAAGGCTGAGGACTGCCCTTTCCACCATCGTCCAGAATGGTTTCCACCAGGCGTCTCTCTCCCTTCTATGCTGCGGTCGACATAGTTGGGACCTGCTTATTCTTGACCTTGTGAGGAACAAGCACTCAAAAACAAATCCCCACGTGGCACCGCAGATAGTACTCGACTATGAGGAGTTCTCCTTAACCAAACAAGTCATACGTCCTTCAACAAGTAGATCGTTTGGGGCCTAAACCCTAAAACCCTAAAAATCCTACACCCCGACCCTAAACACTAAACCGCTAAAACCCTGAACCCCAAACCTTAAAACCCTAAAACCCCTAAGGGTTTTAGGGCTTGGGGCCCCTACTTGGAGGGGCAGGGGACTTAGTAAGCAGGTTATAAGTAGGGTTATAATTGGGGTAACTCCATTTAGGGTACTTATAACTCTACTTATAACCTACTTACTAAGTCCCCTGCCCTTACAATAAGAGCCCGACACCCCAACTCCTCTTAGCCGGGCTGCTGAGACCGGATCACGCTCTGCGAGTAGTGGTTGTATCGCAGCATAAAGCTATCCTCCATCGAGCAGGGGAAAACGAGGGACCCTTAATGGGGACCCCTAGGACCCTATAATGGGCTATATAATGGGGATATGATAGCTATATTAAGGGTCTATACCTAGGGGTCCTTATTAGGGGTCCCTCCTTTTGCCCTTGGACCATCGAACAGGGGGCACGGTGCGGTCTAGGCGGTTTAGGCTGTGGGGCGTCGAACCGGTTAGCGATACTTCTCTGGGAATCAGGGTTGTAGGTTGAAGGGGTTTAAGTTATGATTTAAGGCTTCTGGTGTCAGGCTTACGGTAGGGGCAGCAAGGAAGGAAGCTTCAACAAAGGGGTGTCCCCAAGGCGAACACTTCAGTTAACTACCGGGAGTTGTCGGAACAAGAGTAACGAGAGACCACAAAGGCATTGCCCTAAATTGGCTCCTTCAGGGTCTGTCTCCATCAAAGCTCGCATGGGGATTTGGATTTTTCAGGTCCATGGGGTTGAGGGTTTAGGATGGAAGGAGAGATGGACACAACTAGATATTGACTGGTATTCTGCAGGGAGTACTAGCATGTGAGAGTGCACTCAGACTGGCTTACTAGCGTGTGAGATTGTACTTTGACTGGCTTACTATGGCTGATTCTAGCAGGGCTGTATCAAGGTTTGTAGAGTTTTGGAAGAGCTATCATCCACGGTTTATAGGGCTGTAGAAGGGCAAGACGAGACACTGTAATTACCCATACTACGGATGCCAATAATCGGCATCCTAATGAGATGTTCCGATGATGTTTAATTAAAGGCCTCGTTGATGCCAGGCCAAGTGTCCCGTTGCACGCAGATCTGCGCTGCGTCAAGGGAAGGGAAGGAGACACACATACTGCTGTGAGTAAGATCCTTTGAGGGGGCACCTGCATGTGTATGCAATTACTATACATCAGCCCGATTATGCTATCCAATATATGATTTAATGTCGGTGTCGGTTTAACTGACGGGACCCCCCCCCCTCCCCCAAATTTCCCCCCCCCGACCAACAAAAAAAATTCACTTTAGTATGGCGCCGGTGACGCCGGACAGGGGTCAGGGGTCTGAGTGGCAGGGAATTGGGAGATGCCGGGGTTTGGGGGCTGGCTTGGGTGCAGGGTCTGCGGTTCTGCGCGAATGCGCGGTCGGGGGTCGGGTGGGTCTGGGGATCACCAAATGCTGGAAACCAAGCCCCGATCACTCCAACATTACTACCAAGACTAAAAACCCTTCATTTTGAACGCTTTTGCCTCCGTAACCTACACTCCCACACTCCCACCCACAATCGACCACGTCTGAAGCTTGGTGCGGTACAATAATAGTACAGCAGTACAATAGTAGTACAGTAGAAATAATACAGTAGCAGTACAATAGTAGTACAAAAATAATGCAGTAGTACAATAGTAATACAGCAGTAGTATAGTGGTAGTACAATAGTGGTACAATAGTAGACAATAAGTACGATTATAGCACCGTAGTACAATAGTAGTACAGTAGTAGTACAGTAGTAGTACAGTAGTAGTACAGTAGTAGTACAATAATAGTGCAGTAGTACAATAGTAAAACAACAGTAGTACAGTGGTAGTACAATAGTAGGACAGTAGTAGTAGAATAATAGTACAGTAGTACAATAGTAGCACAATAGTAGTACAGTAGTAGTACAGTAGTAGTACAGTAGTAGTACAGTAGTAGTACAGTAGTAGTACAATAATAGTGCAGTAGTACAATAGTAATACAACAGTAGTACAGTGGTAGTACAATAGTAGTACAGTAGTAGTACGATAATAGTACAATAGTACAATAGTAGTACAGTAATAGTACAGTAGTAGTACAATAGTAGTACAGTAGTACACCAGTAGTACAGTAGTAGTACAACAGTAGTACAGTAGTACAGTAGTAATACAGTAATAGTACAGAAATAGTACCAATAAGCAAAGCATAAAGCCAGTGAGCACATTCCCCCAATAAGCAAAGCATAAAGCCAGCGCCTGAAACCCTAAACCCTAACAAACCCTAAACCCTAAAGAATCCTAAACTCCTAAACCCTAACAAACCCTAAACCCTAAGCCCTAAACCCTTCCCAAAGGGGGGTCGATCCAGATTCGACCCAAAATTGAATTTTTTTATACAAACTTTAGTACTGGAGAGGCCTTTGTCGAGCAAGGGTCCAATTCCCAATTCGGCGGTTCACCCTAGCAGCCCCCCCCCCAATAGGCAAGGCATACAGTAGCAGTAGAATAGTACAATAGTAGTACAGTAGTAGTACAGATTCTCATTCCTGACGCCCCAATAAGCGAAACAATTCTGCAAGAGATTTTCGGGCTTCAGGGCCAGGGTTTTAGGGTTGGGTGGGGGTTTAGGTCGTGGCTGCCTTAAGATTGACCATCAGCAAACAGCACAGCCCCGCCACCAACAACTCCCCCCAGCCAAAAAAAAAACACATTAATTAGTACCCCCCAAATTTTTGGTCAGATTCGGAATTAGCCCCGGAGCCGACGCATTAAAGGGGCCTATATTCCAAAACCGACACCCACATTACTGTGGAACGTTCAGTCATTAACATGAACCGTTCTAGCGTGGGATTGTGCCGGGACGAGGGCTTGCTGACCCTACCTCGAGAAGTACTGTCTGCTCCTGCAACCCCCTCCTATAATGTTCACATGCAAACTAGGGGCCTTAAGTGTTTGAACAGCTCGGAGCAAACAGGCAATTACTGAGGAGGGGTCCAGCATGCCGTTCGCACGGATGGACACGCACTGTCCGATGACCACCTGGGAGCATCTTTACACCATGAATCTACACCTTGAAACCTTTTTCAGCCTTTCGAGATGATATCTAAAGCTTCGAGGCTTCGGTCGGGATCCCTGCAGATCCTAAATCAGAGGCAAGCCCATGAACTCCTGTCAGGCACTTGAGTATGAAGTGCTGAAAGGATATCTGCTCAAGCTGGAACTCCATGTCAAAAAAGCGAACAAACCATCCAGCTCGAAGTCCCCAGCACCAGTCGAATGGTTTATCACGTTTTTTTCCCTCTCGCATGGCTTAGGGTTTAGGGTTTAGGGTTTATCGCACATGCGTCTTGGCTTTCGCACACGACTTGCTGAAACCACATCTCCCTAACATCTGAGACGCTTTTTGCATCCAGGCCTCTTCGAACTGTGGGGCACCCCTAAAAGATCGAACCAAGAAAGTCTCACAAATCGTGGCGCCATGTATGTTGATAAGACCCTAAAAACCAAAACCTTGACCCTAACAACCTTACTGTTTTTATGACTGACTAAACTAATACCCCAAGACCCTGACCCCTAATCGCACGCACAAACAACGGAGGCGGGCTTAAGCCTACTGGTGTGCAGGGCTTTCGGGCTTGGGCAAGAAACGACCATGATGAATTCGACCAGAGCCTAGACAGCGATGCCAAGGCCAGCTTAAATTTGAGGGAGCATGCATAACAACTTGGGATGGAGATTTCACCGACACTACAACAGCTATCCGTTGTAAGCGAGAGGAGGAAAGCCGCTAGCAGGTGCAGAAAAGCCCGCAACCTACGCACGCATTGGCCAATTACTGCCTACTACCAGACATGCACAAGCTCACCTATCGACACGGTGATGCTAGAGCGCGAGGCCCTGTAATCACTACACGAGAACCCATGAACCAAAACCATGAACACTGTACAGACGCTAGCTACATCAGGGGTTCTAGACGCTGATGCAAGCAACAATGAACCCTGAAAAAGCAAAGCACCAACAGCCCCAGCCCCAAGTATCATCCCTAAACCCCAACCTTACCTAAATCCTAACCATAGAGCCCAACCAAGCGGCAGCTTGCAGGTCTTGCACCATGGAAAGCGAGTGCTTGGAGTGGAAGACCAGCGGAACCGCCGTACCACGGTAGAGGTAGATGAAGTACATCCTTGGGGCTTTAAGGCTTGAAGGCTGTAGAGCATTGGGCTTCTCAGCTTGAAGGCTCAGGGCTTTGTTTAGTTATAGTCCCAGAGTTTCGGAGACTGGGAGAGCGACTTAGAGCTGCGATTTGTGCATTAGGCTTCGCGTTGCATGCTCGGGTAAGGTATCAGGTACTTCATGTAGCGCCGCAGCACCATGCCCTTGACACGACAGCGGCCTAGAAGAGACGGATTCCCCTTAGCCGCCTTAGCCCATCAGGAACTATAGGGGGCTGAATCATTGCCTATACCATTACAGGGGGGGGGTCCTTAATAAAATTATGGCATAATAATATAATGGGCCCCCAAATCCTATGCTATTCATTAAGGGCCCTACATCATGTTCGTAAAATATCAACTTTGGCCCGACGACCCTCAAGAAAACGTGAGGAAAATGGAAACCCATGGCGTTCGGCTCATGTTCAACCGGCCACGATGAAGGCTGGAGGGATTCGGGTGTGGGTTTGGGGTTTAGGGTTTAGGGCTGAAGTGTTTTTTTAGGGTTTCGGGGTTTAGGCCAAAGGTTGCAGAGAAGCTCGCTTAGTAGTCGGACTTATGGCTTTTGGGGCTGCAAGACCAAATGGTTTAGGATTTCCCCTCCCTGGCGGAAGGCGCGGTCGAGCGCCCTCATCAGTTTTCTGCGTGTTTTGATTATGATTTTTCGAGTGATTAGCCTTCCTGCGACTCCGCCTCCTTTTAACATCAATCATTACGAACTCAAAAGTTGTCTGTTTTGCTGGTACCTGCGTGGCTTGCAAGCCGTAGGGTTTAGTCATAAACCCTAAACCCCTAAACCCTAAACCTTTTTCGGGTTCAGGAGCTTCAGGTTTCTGGGAACCTCGACAACCTGTCAAAACGGCTCAGCTTTTGTGGGATCTTAGGAAGTGACCGATGAAACGCTGACCCGAAAACACTATGTTGACCCATGGACCCTAAAAAACCATTTAGCCGAAGCCCAAATCATAAAATCCGTGACCAATATCCCTGAAGCCCTAAAACACTCCCCCTGTGCCACTTGCCGCAATCGAGGGGCGTAGCAGCGTAGACAGGGAGGGCACACAGGCACACTCGACCTTAGGCCAGTCCTCCACCCCACAGCCTAGCTAAACCCGAAGAAACCTACATTTAGAGGGCTCGCTCTTCTGGAATCGCTCATACCAGCCCTTCAAAAGCAGGCTTTGGGGGGTTAAAGTAGCGACGCCTCGTGCACGTAAATTTCCATTGTGCGTGTTGCAAACAGCACCAAGACCCTTTGAGTAAGGCCGCAGGCCCTGAACCCCAAAACAATGAAGACTCTTAACTTTCCGGAGTTCGTGTACACTGAGTATATCTTGCTGCCTTGTCACTTCTTGTATTCTAGGCTCGGGAAGACTTGAGAGTTGGGAGAAGATGATCTTCCTATGTTGGGGCGGAATGGCTCTTTCAGACTAAACTCCTGAGGACCCCTGAATCCTCAAACCCGAAGTCCGCCCGCAAAAGAACCTTAAGCCCTTAAAGGGAACTCCAGAAAGTTGGAATATGGTTTCAGGGTAGGATACCCTATTATTTACCATAAAGGGTTTAGGATAATCATAATCATATTCCAACTTTCTGGCTTTTACTTTAGGGCGCTGTACCCTAAAGGCTTGATTGGAGGACATCCAAAAAGTTCGAAGTACCCATGTGAAAGGATACTGATGCTCTCGGTGCCCTCGGGCTCGGGTTGCCTAAATAGTGGGTCACTAAGAATATGTGAGTTTCCGAGAAGCAGGGGTATCTTATGTTGGGGTCCTTATAATAGGGATCCTACTATTTAGGGTAATATATTAGGGTCCACCCGTTTTCGGAAACTCCCATATACCATATAATATGTAACCAGCAGGACAGCTTGGGACGGGGTAGGTGGATTCAGATGTCCAATGCAAATCTCCGAGAGCAACCAAGCAGCGAGGCATCACCGACCTTAGATCACGGTGCAGGGTTTAGGGTTTAGAGCTCAGATCATGGTTTGCGGTGTGTAGGAATAATTCCCCAAGGGTCCATGCACTCCTATATCACATACATTGGCCTCAATGTGGTCCCTATTTAGGTACTTTAGGGCCCAAGTATATACTATTATGGTACATGGACCCTTAGGGATTTGGGATAGTAAGGAATTACATGAAGGTATATTCGCCTATTGGGCTCTGGGGGTATTCCTTGCTCAAGGGGTATTGGGCGCTCTGGCCCACTTGCTTGCAGAGTTTCAGACCATGGTTCCCCGTATCTTACTTGGAAGGGCAGGGGACTTAGTAAGGGCTCTTAAAGGGCTCCTTGAAGGGATCTATAGGGTTCCTTAAAGGGGTCTATGGGGTTTAGGAAGGGCAGGGGACATAGTAAGAAGGTCATATGTAGAGTTGTAAGTACCCTAAATGGAGTTGCCCCAATTATAACCCTACTTATAACCGACTTACTAAGTCCCCTGCCCTTCCAAGTACCTGATATGATTTTCTCACGGGGGTTGCGGCTTATTTGGACTCAGAACCGTGAACCCGAAGGCTGTAATGCCCTGAAACCGTGAACCCCTAAATGCGCCAGGACCTGTTGGCAGCATTTCGCGGGCTTGGATCAGCCTGGGTTTGGTGTTTCTTGCTGCTGCTCCTGAGGGGACGTCGTGCTGCTAGTTCAGAGAATGTGTTGCGGCCATAAGAGTGACATGACTCCCAGGCATCATACGTAAACCATCCCTGGCAGTCGCTGCTGCTGTTGTAGCACCCACTCGATACTGACTGCTGCCTTTCTCTCCCATAACTTAAACCCGTGGCCAATGTGCATCTTGGTCTAAGCTGGCCATGCTGGTAAGACACAGGCCTTGATCATTTACTATATTATAATTATAACAAGGAGCCTCCACAATAGTATTGTTAATCATTGAGGCCCCTATAGTATGTGAACTGTCAAGTCTGAGAGGGCCAGTGCGGGGACCAAGGACCTAAGTTCAAAGGCTAATCCCCAGGCGCTGGGCTATGTTGTGAAGTGGGACGTGACAAACGCTGGCAGCCCAGACCTTCTAAAATCCCTTAATTAAGGAATAGACCTTAATTCATATTAGGGATCCTACTATAATTTATGGTATCTTCCTTAATTAAGGGATTTTGGAAGGTCTGGGAGTATTCGGAGGTGCCGAGCAAGCTTTTGATCGGATGTGGTTATACGGCTTCGACGGAATCAGCGTAGAATCAGCCGTGGAGCAAGACAAAGGTCTGTGTAGTCATAAAGCCCATCAGAAACTGCGCGATGCCCAGGCCGGTGCCCACCTCAGAAGGAACGAAAGCGATCAAGCCAAGTGAGAGCTCCAGCTTTTCGTTAAGTCTTCCTATGCCTGGCAGCTATGGAATCCCATGACATCTCAACCTACGCCGGGCAACTATGGAATCCCATGATATTTCATTGTTACCTCTACGGCTTCTATTCCCTTCAAAATTCCAGTTTCGAGTCACGGGCCTGCGGAGTCTTTTCAATGAGACATCGGGTAGAGCGGTGGGTCTTCGGACACGATCCGAACTGCGAGCTACGCTGCCGAAGCATTGCGCAAAACAATGAATCGATTAACGTGGCCTTGGCCATTCGGAGCCCCTCACCGGAGACACAGCTTCATGGTCATGTAATCATGATAAGAAGTGTAATAAGTAACCACAATAATAGTAACAAAATAATAGAAACAATCATAACTGTGATGATGATACTACGAATATTATTGCCCTCAGCCCTAGGAGAGGCCAGTAGAAGGACCAATGCCCTCAAAGCGAGGAGAGCTGGCGACCTGGACTTGACTTTCCTCCTTTCTTCCAATTTGGTATGTACGATGTGTATGTCTTCATGTATGTACATAGGTGTACGTATCTATGTATGCATGTATGTATGTCGGTGTATGTATGTGTCACGCATGTATGCATGCATGCAAGCATGTATGTATGTAGAAAATTCCTATGCACGCACACGTACGCACACAACGGATAGCTATGTAGTGTGCATCGCAACACCCACCTGCTCGCACGAAGAGCTTTACATTCGTACTACTTTAGACTTTAGACACGCACAGGCACCGACAACTTCCCTGCTGATACGACTTGTGCGAATGGAATCCTATGCCTCTGTTTCAACAGCCTAGACCCTCGACACTAAGGGCCCGACAAGTGTCTCATCTACCTGGCAGCACGACTCCCGTCGTGGGGGGGGTTGAAGCATTGGGCTTCACGCCCACATTCACCGAAATCCCAACAGCCCGAACACCCAACTCTCGCGGTGTGGATCTCGCGGCCTCGTGCCAGTGCAAGGGGGCAGGAGCTCAAACCCAGAGCGCAACACCCCACAACCGAGAAAATGTATGCCTGCTTCGTAGCATGTAATTAAACCCCAAAACCGTCCTACAGCCCTGAACTTCACACGGCGGATGCCATATAGACCCTAAACCCTAAAACCCCCAAATCCCTAGAAACCTAAACCAAGCCCCCAAGGCGGCGGCCGGCTTCGCATCATATAAACACCCCCAAACCCCAAAACCTAAGAGCAAGACCCAAAACCCGGAACAGAGTCCGAATCGCCGAAGGTAGCTACCTGCTTCGTCCCATATAAAACCCGCAACCCAAAACCCCAGAAAGCTTTCTGCTTAACCGCTGCAAGGAAACCAGTATAAAGGGCTCTAAACCTGGCAGGTCGCCTGCTTCATGTCATAGGACAGTCGGTTGATGAGACGGCCCACGGGCTGCTTGTCAAAGAACCTGCACACTTCTTTGAAGGCTTTTTAGGGTTTAGGGGTTTTAGGGTTTAGGGTTTACTTTAGGGTATAGGGGTTTTAGGGTTTAGGGTTTAGTTTAGGGTTTATGGGTTTTAGGGTTTAGGTTTTAGGGTGTAGGGTTTAGGGTCTGCAGGGCTCATGCTTCCTTTGTGTTGGGGGTTGGAGTGGGTTCTCGTCGCTCACACTCGATCGGTTTTGGGGATTTGGGTTTTGGGGCTTGGGCTAAGGGTCAGGAAAGGCTGTCAGCGTTGCTTTCAGTGGTGTAGGGCTCTAGGTTGCGACCTTGGCATTGTAATGCCGCGTGCTCATCATCCTTCCAAAAACACACGAGTAAGTCGATCTGATAGAGCCTTCAATCACACTTCATATAGGCTTCGGGGCAAATTTTTTAGACCACCAAGGATTTCCGACGATGGACAAGTATGTAAACCCTAAACCCCCGGAAGCCGACACCCCAGGGTACCCGGCCCGCCTGTCCACCGGAGCATTGAGAAGGCTCGTGACACAGCATTCGTGGATCTTCCTGCACTCAATATACGGGAGTTTCCGAAAATAGGGGGCCCTACTACAGTACCATAAATAGTAGGATCCTTATTACAAGGACCCCAAAATAAGGTACCCTCAATTTTCGGAAACTCCCATACTTGGGGGCTGAGCACCCTAGGCCCCAAAAGAGTTACAGTAACCTTTTCAAGCATGGTAGGGTTGTATAAGCCCCAAAAGGTTAGGGGCTATCTACTCAGCCACTAAGTACAATAATCAAAGTTGGGGGTTTGGGGGTTTAGGGTTCAGCGGCTGCACCAGCGCAACTGCAACGACAGCCGATAAACTCTAAATCAAGAGCCATGCCCTAAACCTGTCAGGAGTAAACCCTAACTATTCAGTGAAGCATGCCGAATACTGCCGAAAGTACATTGGCAGAAATGAGGGTTCGGGTTCTTCATATCCAGGCCTGTCAAGCTCAGGGCAACAAGTCCAAACACCTTTCCGAGTCACATATGACCGATCCCTTCGTGTACTCAGAAACCATTGGTCTACATTCTACATACCCGAATCTCTCTGCAGGCTTCAAAGCAACCCTGCCGGAAAGGTCGCCACTATTTTGCTGATGAAGGGGCCTTACTAGTTTCCTATAATATTTTGGGGGTTCCGTAGTGCAGCTATAGTACAAAATACACAAGAACTCCGTTCTAATTGTTAAGGCCCCTATAGTAGGGGGCTCTGAAGATGTTGCGCTCGATCCTTCTTTCAACTGTGCTGTGCGAAAGTTCCATGCCATGGTTGAACAGCATCCTGGACCATAAACGGCTAGACCCAAACCCATGAGCACAGATGCCACAAACAACTGGGCGTTACCATCGCGCATTCCCAGCAAGAAACGCTACCAACGAAGGGTTGCACAGTTTGCAAGCATCTTGGTGTAGTCTTCGGGTTTCGGCGCTGACACTCTGAGTCTTCGGGTTTAGGGGCCAAGCTTATGTCTAGTTTGGCGTCCTCGCCGAGGTGAGCGCAACATTCGCCGTGGCGTAGTAAACAATGAGGATAGTCGCCTTATGGCTCTCCATAAGAATCCAACTCATCGGGACCCTTAGGGGGGTAAGGAGGGGGGGTAGGGGACTACACTTCCCCATTAGGCCTTATTAAGTCCATATTATGGGCATTACGCCCTACCCCCCCCCCCTCCACTACCCCCTAAGGGTCCCTATGACTAACGGTGAGATTGAAAATCAGGCTGTGCTCGGTTGAGTGCTTAAGACTCCATGGCTTACGGGCAAAAAAAGATTTCGTTTGGCAGGGATTCGGGATGTTTAGGGGCGGATGTGCTTTTACTGCTAAAATCTACATATCTACCTACGTAAAATATCTATGGGTCTATGAAATGAAATATGCACACATACTGTCTTGATTTAAGTATAGACATTTAGAGTTCTTAATTTTCATCTGTTCAGGCATGATGTAGGTCATATGAGGGGTCCTTCTGCAAAGATCCTACCTTTTGGATCTATAATAGGGCCTTCGGTCCTTCATTGTGGAGGTTCACTATACTGCGACCTATAAGCCTATAATGCAAGCAATCTTCCAAGAACATGCCCGAAGATGACAGCAGAACATTCGTTGGCTGAGAGCTTAGGTTCGTGAAGCTACTGCCGAGAAAGCTCGCTGCCTGAGAAGTTGCAGTTTAGGACTGTTTTTCCACCCAACACGGACAGGTTCGGTTTAAAACTGTGGGATTCGCGGGCTGGGAGGGATGCTTTAAGGTTCGATTTTGATTCAAGGGCTGGTGAGCTTGTGCCCCGAACCGTAAACAGTAGGTCGAGTGTTCGAGGTTGAGTGGCTTCAGATTTGGGAGATATTCCAAAAGAGCAGACAAAAATATCTAGTACATTGTTAACTGTGATTGTATGATGTAATACGATCTTCTACTCGATTAGACTAGTGACCAGTTATCACAAACAAACCGAATTCTGCTTTCGTGTTGGTGCTGGATGAAGCTTCAAGCCTAATAGTACAGTTCTTACCGGTGAGAATGTTCTGCAAGGGTTAAATTCTGACAGATTTATAATAGTAGTAATAACCCTCAGGAATAACATCGGTTTTTTAATCGATCCCGATAATACACCGATGGAAGCTCAGAGCTGAACCCAGCCACGGGTTCTACCATGCAGGACGAGGCACGCAGCAAGCGCCCACCACCAGGATCAGGCGTTTTCTCGGTTCCAGAGCAGGTCTAGGGTTGAGGGTTTAAGGGTTTAAACATGTATATGACTGTAAGTTTAAGGAATGGCATCAGCATTCAGAACAGATTCGGACTCGACATCAGTCCGACTTTTGGTTATTATCCACTACCTTGACATCTATGTTCGAAGTCCGGACGGGGGATGTGGTGTAGGTGTGGGAGATTGTAGTGCAATGTAATTATGTCTCTTGTTTAGTGGTATTGAGCTCTCTGGATACCCGTGTGGCCTTTGCCTGCGAAAAGACAGCTGACAAAACTCGACACATCCCGGGAAGAAAGCACCGAGTGGCATGAACAACATGTCGTCCACTTCTGGATTTATAACCTGTGCATCGATTTTGCTGTTGAAGGTGGATGGCGGAAGTGTCCAGAATCGGTGAGATTTCTTGACTCGAGGTTAGGGCGTAGGACTTGGAGCATTTAGGCTCTCGCAACTCGGAGCGCGTCCTCAGGTTCTTGGGTTAAGGGCTTATGATGCTTAGGTTATGGGATTCACGGGTTCCGTTTAGGCATATTCTCCTCAAGAGTGTGGGATTGTCAGGTGGAGGCCATTCGACACGACGCCTAAGCCCTCAATCGGTCAGACCGTGCGGTTGAGCCTAAACCCAAGGATTCCGCGGTTTAGGGTTTAGGGTTGAGGCAAGACCGTAACACTTCGAGGTTTTGACCCAAGGACACCAGAATCCGCTGGTAAGCCAACATCGAGGAAATCTTTGCAGCACACCTAAGATGATCCCAGGTATGTTCCTGGATTTGGGGAGTAACATTTATGATAGCCTACAGAGTCCTCATAAAGGTAACCCAAAACGTAAAACATTCCTGAATATTGAGGCCCCCTGTCGGTTGCGGGCTTTAGGGTCCAGAGGAGTTTAGGCTCTAACAAGGAGGGCGTAGGGTCTGTAGGGGTTTAGGCTCCAATGAGGATTTTGTGTTTGAAGGGGTTTAGGGTCTACAGGGGTTTGGGCTCTAAACATGAAGGCTTCGCGGTATGGTATTCCGAAACTTTTTGAAAGATACATGATCCCAACCGACCAAGGCCTTGAACACATCCCCAAACTTCAACATGCTAAGCCCCCTATGAATCTATGCCCCGCACCCTTAATTTAAATTAACACCCTAAACCCTAAATCTAAGCCCTGCACCCTTGATTTAAATTAAAACCCTAAACCCTAAATCTGAGCCCTGAACCCTTAAATTAAAGACCTAACCTTGGTGTCGATCCAGATTGCCAGCACCAAACTCTCCCGGAGCTCCTTAACAGCAATACTTGGAGGGGCAGGGGACTTAGTAAGTAGGTTATAAGTAGGGTTATAATTGGGGTAACTCCATTTAGGGTACTTATAACTCTACTTACAACCTACTTACTAAGTCCCCTGCCCTTCCAAGCAGGGCCTTAAAGGGTTTAGGATGGCTTAGGGTAGTCTGTGTTTTTTTAGGCAGGTATAGTCCAGCATATCTAGTTTAGGATTTAGGGTCTTCAAGCGTTTAGGGTAGTTTAGGTTGTATATAGAGGTCTTCAAGGATTTGGAGGTGCTTTCATACGAATTTCATCAAGGGTCTTGACTGTACTTTGGCGATAGGGGTTTAGAGTGCTGGATTGAGCGTAGTAGGCATGAAAAGGATAGCTGGGCCCACGGCCTACAGTTAAGGTTAGGGGCAAGTCAAGGTTATGAGGGTTTAAACTTAGGCATAAACTTCAGGGATTTGGGGCTTACGTAAGTGTGTCTGTCTGTCTGTCTGTCTCTGTCTGTCTGTCTGTCTGTCTGTCTCTGTCTGTGTGTGTGTGTGTGTGTGTGCGTGTGGCTTGGCTTGAGAAAGGTGGAGGGGGCCTCTGCCGTCGTTGCAGAGGTAACAGGACCAGTCGTCGTTGTGTTGGAGTAGTAGTACTAGTAGTAGTGGTGCTGGTAGTAGTCGTTGTGGTAGTAGTAGGAGTAGGAGTAGTAGTAGAGTAGTAGTTGTAGTTGTCGCACTAGTAGTAGAAGTAGTAGAAGTAGTAGAAGTAGTAGTAGTAGTAGTAGTAGTAGTAGTAGTAGTAGTAGTAGTAGTAGTAGCAGGAGGAGGAGAAGGAGGAGCAGCAGCAGCAGTTGGTAGCGGCACTAGTCGTCGTCGTTGTAGAAGCAGTAGATATCATTATGTGCGTATTCATTGTTTTCTTGTTGCTGGTAGAAAGCGTTAGACTCCATGGATGTCGGTTTGGTGTGCTAAGCTACAAACGACACAGGAACTCCGTTGCTGAAGGATACTTGCAGATTCATTCTCTGGTGCTGTTCATGAGGTGGGAGGCCACTGACATGACAGTATATGGGCAGCTGAGCACACGTGCTCACGGCAGCATAGACATCATTTGCAGAGAGAGAGAGAGAGAGAGATACATCTATACATATATGTATATATATATATATATACAGTATAGGTATGTACATCAGGGACTACAACATCAGGGACATGTGGGCGGATGGTTCATGAAGCGCTTTAGAATATCGAAGCCACCTTGACGGCCACCTGAATGAAACCACAAACTGAGTCACGCAACAAACCTCATCGGATCGGGTTGTGCGCTCAAGGTTTAGTCTTGCCCACACACCTGAACTTCACCTGGGGCTGCTGCAGTGCTTCTGCAGCCCCTCTCAGCCCAAATTCAGAGTGGATCAAGCTGCAGGATCCATCTAAGAGACACCGGCTCTGCCGAAATTCGGAAACTGCATGTGCTCTTCAGTTTTCGTGCTGATAGTTTGGTAGGGTTGTCATCAAAGCTGCAAGACTGGGCTATATAACGAAAGATCATTATGAACTAAAAGTACCAAAAAGATCGTACTAATAGCAATAGTTAACAGCAATACCAATGCCTTCTGCAATCCGAGCTGCAACAACGGCTTGCAGTGCTACCGATCCGCCAAGCAGCAACAAGTTCAGCATGCCTCGCAAGAGCAACCAGTACAGGGTCTTCGGTTTTAGAATTGCGTGCGTTGCTCGAGCATGAAGCACTGCTACCGTAAGTTGAAGCCAGAATCAGACAGCCCACTGCCGCTGTTGCGGTTGCTACATCTATCCGGGGAAGCTGATGGCTCCTTATTATCATTATAGTATATTTTACCCCAGATGCATGTACCTGACACCTGCCCGAAGCACCAGTCAATAGATGAATGGCAAAACTCCAAACTGACACTGTCCAGTACCACCACTGTTGTCCGCACCATCATGTTGCAGCAGCCTACTGCAACTCGGCATATATGAAACATCACTCGCGCATGCGTGCACTCACAAGCATTTGCGTAGTTGTTTCTTTATGCATCGACTTTTAAAATGATGTGTATGTATGCAATAAACTTTGCTCGTGTGTACTATATACATCTGCAACTGAGTATATACATTGGACATAACTGAACCAAAAACCAGTCATTAGAGAGAACACTAAAAAATAAAGAACAAACGAAGAAAAGAACAAATGGAACACATGCGGGGGATTGCAACGCACGCGCACCACCACCACCACAACCACCACCACCAACAAGAAGAAGAAGAAGAACAACAACAACAACAAAACCCCAGTAGCAGGCAGCAAGGACGACAATGAGGTGGTACAACAGCATCACCACCAGCAACAATAGCAATAGGACAGCTCCGGCAAATCCACAAAAAGCAACACTAAATGCAATCAAAATCAGCATCAAACTGCGCACCTGCGGCTTTCAACCACCACCAGAGGGATTCCCAGGTGATGTTCTCTGCCACCTCCTCTTCACGAAGCAGCATGCCTGCCAAGCCGTCTCAAAGGTGAAGCCTTTATGTATGTGGGTGGTTGTCAAAATTAGTGTCCCTGTTTGGGTACCCCAAATAATAAGTGCCGTACTATAATAGGGGCCCAAAAAGGGACCCTAATTTTGACAACCACCCATGTGGCACATGCAGCATGCCACATCATACTGCGACTAAACATACGCCACACACGTAGTAAGAATGAACAAGTACTATGCCGACGAAACCACTGCAAATGCTGTATAGTGCAACTGCTGCTACTGCTACTGCTACGACTAATTCTCGTACTCCTAGTCCCCGTACCGTATCACTACTATCACAACAACTACTACTGCTACTGCTACTGCTACTGCTACTGCTACTGCTACTACTACTACTACTACTACTACAACTACTTCTACCTACTACAACTACCTACTACTACTACTACTACTACTACTACTACTACTACTACTACTACTACTACTACTACTACTACTACTCCTGCTCCTGCTACTGCTACTGCTACTGCTACTGCTACTGCTACTGCTACTACTACTACTACTACTACTACTACTACTACTACTACTACTTCTACTTCTACTACTACTACTACTACCACTACTACTGCTCCCCCTCCCCCTCCTCCTCCTCAGCTGCTGCTGCTGCTGCTTCTACCGCTACTGCTACTGCTGCTGCTACTGCGGCTGCTACTGCTACGAACAACACAATCACTTCTGGAGCAAACCTACCACGACAACATACTGAGGATCTGAATCTGAATGCATGACATCTTCGGTGACAGGCGCACCTCCCTCATCGTTGGCCTGCTTTGCAAGCATCACACTCTGGTTGACATCGCTGACTCCGGGCGAGTTTGCCTGGCGCCAGACAATGCCATGAGGATGGCTGGCACTTCGATGGCTATGTCGTCTTCATGAGGAGCTGCATTTAAGCTGAAGCTGAGTTCTCTGCTGACCACGTTCAACGACGAGTTGAATGAGACTCCGAAGCCCACTACATTACACTTTACTTGAGATACCTTGACGCCTCAGTTCTGCGTGCTGTGGCTGCAGACGCGCGAAATAGCTTTACTGCCAACGACGACATTGGGTCATGGATACCTATGACGTACATCTGTTAAGCCAGCAACCCTCCGCAGGCTCAAACTTAAACCATATTTGCATCAGGACTTGTGCAATCGCCTGAATACATGGACGGAAGGTCGGCACAAACTTAAACCATAAACTCGAGAACCCGAAACCATCCCGGGCCTTGGGTGAATCGGAACCGTCGTCGACTTGTTCCTGCCTGGATGTTGAGTGAAAGCAATCTACTTGGAGGGGCAGGTGACTTAGTAAGTAGGTTATAAGTAGGGTTACAATTGGGGTAACCGGGGTAACTCCATTTAGGGTACTTATAACTCTACTTATCAAAAACTTACTAACTCCCCTGCCTTTCCAAGTAGGTGCTGGCACTTGGACTGGCAAGCCCTTACCGAGTCCTCACAAAACAGACCCCCAAACTCAAACCTCCCTCCCTCGAAGGCATCACAACACGAGTCCTACAGTTCATAGAAGCCTCGCAGAGTGGCGAGGTTGAAGCAAATTAATGAACGAACAGGTATAGTCTAGTTCATGGCTAGGATAGGATAAACAATTTACATTTTTATTCCTTATTGGGTTTAAGTAGAAATGAAAATGTAACTGTTACCCAACTATGACAAAGTTTGGTGTGGCTACATCGAGACTCGAAAGGCTGTTGCTACCAATTAATCAAACCTCACTTTTCTGGTGCCTCTACTCTCTCGCAACTCCAACTTTAGGATTTAGGCTGTGGCTGAGTGGCTGAGGAATCTAACTCCCATAAAGGAGGCCCATACTTTAAAGGCTCTTCTCGAGACCACAGTACCCTTTGCGAGCCCCAAAAAGAGCCCGCTGTTTCAATTAATACAAAGACTCGGAGCTATGCTGATATGGAGTTCTTTCCGACTACCGATATGCCTTAATTTCGACAGCTTGGGGTTTGGAGCTTAATCCTCGGCACGTATATTTACAATCAAGAGCCATGAGCCAACCCTGAACTAGCAAAGCTAGAACCCTAAACCCTAAAACCTAAACCTAGAGCTCCGAACAAATCCTCACCGTCAGCACCCTCGCTCAAGCTCAGCAAAGCAGCTGGATGCGTTTGAAGGCCTCTGTCTCCTCAGCTTCGGGTTTCGGGTTCAGGGTCTCGACTCTTATGTCTTATGGGGGGGGGGGGTTCCGAAAATTAGGGGTCCCTTATTTTGGGGCTTCATAATAAGGAATTTACTATTTAGGGTTCTATATTGGGGTCCCCTATTTTCGGAAACTCCGTTATTGCTGTAGCAACGAACATGTCGCTGTAGCCATGATTATGGCGATAGTCATTCGTATGCCGAGTCAAGCCCTACACCATGAAGCCTATGCCGAAACTGCTCTTGAAGTTTCTGAATCTTCGGCTACGCTTGACGACAGTCGTCTTGGCGTTAGAGCATGTTTCACGTGCTTGAAACAAGATCCTTGAGGCAAACTTGTCCAGTCGTCTCAAAAGCGCTTTAGGACTTCTAGTTGAAACTTCATCCCAAGATTCATCGGGCTTGTGGCTGGTTTCAGTTCTTCAAAGCCTGCCCTAGCCCACGCGAGTGTGAAGCCGCTAGCTATACAAGTCCTGACTTCTACGCATCCGGGCCGGAGATTTCGAGCTGTCTGAGCCCTAACCAGGAAGCCCTACTCCTGAAACCTGTCGACGAAAAGACCTTTCTAGGGTTCCTTATTGTGATTTCTGTATATAGTTCCTTAAAGAAAGGTCGGTCTTTTTGGCTGCAGGTACCGACTAGTCTCCATTGTGGTTTCTTTTTTTAGGTGACCTTATAGGATCCCAGATATGTACTTGGTTAAACCCAAAGAGCAACCACAATGGAGACTGCAAGTAGACTTTCAACCTGAGTACTCTAATCCTCCTATCATCGGAGCCGGGCCACCATCACCTCTGCCGGTGCTCCAGTCTCTACGACGCAGCCCTCTTCCTTGCAGGCTTGTCAGAGATCTCAAAACCACTTGATCAAGGAATATTCTTTAATCGTTGCAAGGTGCTAAGTCTGCCCGAAAGTAGTTGTTGTTTTGTCTGGGTTCTTCCGATGTGGTTTGCTTACATGACCGGTGGACTCAGGAAGCATGTTGCAGTCGGGAATACTGTGGTCCTACCTTTCTGTGCTTGTCTGATGTGTACCCGTGGCTACAGCCTGCGCGCCAAGTCACACCTAACAGCCCAGGACCCCTTATGTAATCACAGGGCAGGAAACCTTGACATAATGTTCAGGCCCTCAGAATTTATGGTCTACTCATCCCTGCAGGGACTACAACCCCATAAGACCCAAACAAAAATACCTGCAGAGGTCCTTGTTATGTCCGTATGAGGTTTAGGCAGTTTTGGATCTACCTGTTGTGTCTAAGATCCTCACCATAAGACAGGTTGCCCCAATAAAGATGTACTAACATTTAGGGGCTGCATCGGCTTCACAGGCAGGCTCTTCAGGGTCTAGTGTTTAGGGTCAGAGGGCGCCGTTTAGATTCCGAGCACTTGTTGCGCACAGCCCCAGCTTCGAATATTTACGACTGCATACCCTCGACAAAGGTTCTGTTAAGAACGTATTTCAAGCTATCATAGACTAAGTAAACGCAACATGGATATGCTTTCCTAACAGTGGTAGCTTGCACGGTCTACCCTGTAAACAACAGCCCCACAGCGCGGAATGCGAAGGTGCACAAGCCGATCTAACAGTTCTGGATTCAAGCTCCTGTTTCCCTCTCTCACTATCAAGTTCCTGAACCCGGGAGACCCACACATACTCTTCCATACTCTTCCGACGTCTAGAAGACACACAAATCAATGCGAGGTTCGAGGAGGATAATCCGGTCGAAGTGCTGCAAACGCGCGCGGTCAGGCCTTGTGTTCGTCATCGTCGGCTTCACATCGTGGGGGTTTAGGTCCCAGATCTAAACACCCTCAACCCTAAACCCTAAACCCTCAACCCTAAACCCTAAACCCTAAACCCTAAACCTGATACATCCTAAGATCCCAAGACCGTCGGCCCCCACATTCTCGCAAAATCGGCCTCGAACTCCCAAGCCAACAGACCCCTAAGGGTCCATGTACTCATATAGTATATACATTGGCCTTAATGTAGTCCCTATATAGGTACTTTGAGGCCCATGTATCTCTATATGGGTACATGGACCCTTAGGGGACTCGAAGCAGGAACCACGTGACAGCCTGGGACAACATAAGTTCACGACAGAATTGGGAAGCGCAGATTGGATCCAGGTATTTGAGTGCACTACGCCTTGCCCGGAACTCCTAGACTCTATAGCTCCTAAACCCTAGGCCTAGGCTGAATGAAACGATGCACGAACCCCAAACCGTCAAAGCCATTCTTCTCGCACTTCACCCTGTAGTCCATCACAATGGGCCCGCGATGGCCTGCGGGCATACCGGCTGAGGTTGAGAGTTGAAGGAACCCCAAACCCTCAACCATGCATTCCGCGGTTTATAGGGGCCTGAATGATGTTTCTAAATTGCTGTGTCTTCGAGCACTGCACTCGTGTCTTCAACTCCGAACCCTGAATACCAAGCCCATGCTTTACAAGCGGAAACCCCAAACCCGCAAGTAAGCTCATGACTCTAAACTCTAAGCTAAATCTGCAACTCTAAACCAAAAACCCGATTTCCCTGGGCAGGGATGTGATGTAGGCGTGCGAACTGGAACTATAAATATGACAGTCGGGAGGTCTGCTGAAGAACTAACACGAACTAAGTCCGGCTTGGGGTTTGAGTAGGGTGTACTGCACCTTAACCTTTTTGCATCCAGGCCTATTGCCACTGCCGGGTACCCTGACCTTAACCTAAAACCCTAAACCCCCAAACCCTAAACCCCGTCAAGTGCCGCCGAGCGACTGCGTGACCACCAGGCGTGTCCTCGGATGGTAGTCGAACCCCAAAACTCCCGAACCCTACACCCTGTACCCTGGAAAACCTGAACCCTCAACAAAAAATGACCACCCAATAAACTCTCAACCTAAATGCCTCAGCTAAACCCTATGCTCCCCGAACCCTGAACCCTGCACCCCAAAGACCTATTATAAACCCTAAACCCGAAACTCCTAAACTCTCGGACCCTGAACCCTGCGCTCTAAACCCCCAACCCCGAAGCCTAAACTCCGCACCCTAAACCCCAAACTCCGAAGCTCAAACCCCCTAAAACCCTCGATCCAAAAACCTGGCAGCTGCAGGCGAGGGGCCGGCCTCTCATGACAGGCCCCAGGAGTAGCCTCGGATTTACGGCTCAAACTGTCATCTTTTAGTATCTACACATGTACTTGCGCATAAAAAACATATAAATATTTGTATACGTATATGTGTATGCGTGTGTATATGTGCGTATATGTATGTATGTATATATCTACATATTTCTATATGTAGATGGGGCAAGGCTTGCCTAGAACCAGCCGATGTCTGCAGCCGAGGAAACTCGCTGAAGATGTGCTGACCTCGGCAAGCACGCGAAGGCCCGGTGTCTTGGATCTCGCGATTCGGAGATAAGACTGGGGCTGAAGTCAGGACACCCAAACCCCTCACCCGGAACCCTCAACCCCTGCATAAACCCGACACCCCCAAACTTGACCCCGATTTTTTGCAGCGCTGGCTTCTGCCCGAACCTCGAGAGCCACGAGAGAGAGAGAGAGAGAGAGATAGAGAGTCCAAAGGTAAAAGGAGGGACCCTTAGTAAGGACCCCTAGCTATATACCCATAATATAGCTATGATGTACCCATTACATAGCCCATTATAGGGTAGGGGTCCCCATTAAGGGTCCCTCCTTTCCCCTTTGAGAGAGAGAGAGAGAGAGAGAGAGAGAGAGAGAGAGAGAGAAAGAGAGAGAGAGAGAGAGAAGACCCTCAACCCCTGAGTTGAGGAGGGACCGCAGTGCACATGCCCTCTTGCCCTCCTCACTTCGAAGCTTCAGCTCTCGTGGCTGGACGCTCCAAAAAAACCCTAAACCTCTACCATAAACCATAAGCGCTGTAGTCCTAAATCGCTCAACTCTCATGGGTTAAGGGTCGCTACTCTAGAGTACCTTGTTTCGATCTCCTTATACTGCGTCAGGACGCAAATCTTCACCTTCCCCTGCCGTTTCACAAATATTCCCTGTAGAATCCGAACAAACAGGACCCGCTGGGTCCTCCCGATCATGAAACTTTAAAGTGGTGCAGTTCCCTAAGGCTCCATGTACCCATATAGTCTATACTTAGGCCTTAAAAGTACCTATACAGGGACCCCTTTACGGCCAAAGTACCTACTATAAAAGTACATGGAGCCTTTGGGATTTCAAAGCGGGGTATACGACTACTCCGCAAGACAGGCCACGTACTCCGAGACTCCCGGAATCCACTACTCCGCAAGAGGTCTCAAGACAGGAAAGGCCCGGTCAAACTTTTGTCCTCCGGGTGTATGGGTTTTGTTTTGCTGGGGCTACTCGTACAAGGACACCCGAAGCCGAAGCTGTTGCTTGCCCTAGGCTCACTTGAAACAATCGAAGGAGCTTTTGTCGGATTAAACCACAGTTTAAGCCGCCTCAGGTGATAGTCAGGAGGACTGAACGTTTCAGACCTCGTATCACGCAGGGGTCGTAACCTGCTATGTTGTAGAGTTTGGGGCTGCAGGAAAAGGGTTGCTGAAACACAAGTGTGGCAATTATGTGGAACGTGAGGTCATGTCTTTGACATCAATCCGCGGCCCCTCAGGCCCTAAGCTACAAGAAGTTCAGGACTAACACGTCAAATAGCGCCACTTTGGGTTTAGGGTCTTATCATCAACACCTCGAAGAAGCGATGCTAAATCAACACTTGTTGAAAGGGCAAGGCACCCGTCGGACCATCGACGGAAGCAAAAGGATCATCGATGAGCACGACCTGTGCGGCCTCGCAGGAATAAAAAGATCCAAGCAGAATGTGGCTGGGGTTGGCAGGGTTCGAACTCGGAAACGCAAGACCCACACAATCAGACTATGGCAGCCAACTCCTGTGTAGATAGCATATCCATTGGCCCTAAAGTACCTTGTGGGAGCTCTTCAAGGCCAAGTTATATACTAGATGGGCAGCACATGAATGCGTAGGGAAGGCTCCATGAACAGGCATGCAGGAAAGCTTCATCAACGCTGGCATCTCAAAGAGTTCCTTCGGCCGTGTGGATGAGGTTTATAGATTCATTGCCCTCGGCCTATCTCGGGCTTAACGCTTCTGATCGTCTTGCAATTATACACACAGGCCCCAGAGTAGTTCCTTTTTGGGGTTCATATTTAGAGTCCTATAAGGTAATCCCAACAAGGAACTACTATTCGGCCTATCGGTATAAGCCCGTGCACAACGAAACTAAGAATCAGAGCTCGTGCCCGTTGCGACGGCCTCCATGTAGGCAGCTCGTGCCAAGGCCACGCGGGCCCGCTGTCCTGCCCGCAGGAACCGTAGACGGTGGAGCTTCATGAACGACCTCTCTAGGACAATACCCCCAGATCCCTTATAGTAAAATACCCCGGTCTTGACATGTTAAAGGTCTTCAACCTAACCGACAATACTGAATCAGTGTGTTTCTGGTGGTGGTGATGGTGGGGTTCCGAAATTGTGGCATTTTGGGCCCGCATCTCTGAAACTCCGATAAGCCGATACGGTCCACTTTGAGTATTGGAGTACTAATCCCTCTACCCTGAATATCTTCGCGGGCACAAAAGCCAAGATCGTGTTTGCGGGCGGGTTCTGCCCCAAATGCATCGATATCCCACACAAAAGGCCCGATACCGATAAATCCCGCCAACATCAAGCGGACATGCAAAACCTGAACTTCAGCAAAGCCCTCAAGCCAGTTTCTGGAATCAAAGCATGAAGCGATCGTCAAACTGGGATTGCTGCCCTTTCGCAGTTCACACGCAACGTCAGCAGAAGAGACACCAAGAAAAATCGGCGCAAAGGTTTCAGGCTATGGCTACTCTTTTTTAAGATATGCAATCCTCAGATACTGACTTTACTACCGTGGGGCGGGTTATAGTCTTGCTAAGGCACGCTTAATTCAGCATTGCCTGGCTGACAATCGTCCAAGATCCCGGCCATAAACCTAAAACCCTCAGGCCTAAGCCAAAACCCTTATTATACTCAAAAAGATAAATATGTTGCAAGAGTAGAGCCCTAAACAGTGATATGGCACCACGACGACTAGGACGACCACGATTGGTTTACGTGTTTGGCGGAGGGTCCTTCGAGAGGCCTCGAACAGAAATCCTCCCAAGAAATCTGCACCCTGAACACGACGAGATTTAATATGGATCCTCTCGACATTGTCGAGAAGCTGCTATCGACCTCAAAGAGAAACGAAGCCCGAATCCGCACATGCCACAAGAAAGCATACATGCCCTCCTCCGGACAGGCGAATCCCGAAGGAGCCAATCGTCACCTTCGGGTGCAAGGACATAATTTTAGGTCTTATAGCCTTAAGCCACCAACCCTAAAAGCGATAACCCTTAAATCCTCTCACACTCAAACCCTAAAGTAATTGGCTTTGGTGCATCGGTTTGAGTCTTGACAGTTTCGGAAGGTTTAGGAGAGTACGAGCACTTACACACTAGGATTTTGGAGTTTGGAGAAGCTAGGGTTAAGCTCAGGGGGGAAGGTTCCTGTATGGTATAAGTTACGATCTAATAAGATTAGGTTTGGATGGACCTGCAAACCATAAGACTCCAAATTTGCCCAAAGTAGGTACTACTTAAAGACTAAACACTTTAGGACCCCAAAGTAGGTACATTTCATATACTTGGAGTCGTTATGAAAGGGGTCCGGGTCTTCTGCTGCAGGTAGAGATGTTTGGGGTCCAGCCACCATGTCACTTCTGCCGAAAGCTTCCATAAAGACCAAGCCTGTTCCAAACCTGCGTTCAAGTCCAGCCAGTAGCATTGTTCAAAGAGGATCCGAAGACCTGAAATAGAACGGCTCCGGCTGCTAGACCCCAAACCCCAGACCCCAATGACTCAAGGCGCTACACCCCTGACTCCTAAAGCCCCTTTGCCCTGCACTCCATGAAGCCAAAACCCGAACGGCCCTGTACTGTTACCAACAGAAGTCATTGACCCCCAACAACATGGATGTGCAACAGGGTAAGTATAACTACTTCCTTTCAGACTTGGGAAGTGACACTTTTCGAACTTCGGGGCTCCATGGCCCCGCCTGGTCGCCGCCAGGCAAGATCTGGAGGTCCGAGGACAGGCCCGCGGCGTGGATGCATTTGTAATATCCTTGGGATCGGACGGCAAGCGTGGGGTCTAGGTCGAGATGCCAGGGTTCGAAAGGTTGGGTCTCGCTATAGACTATGGACTATAGGGGCCTTATTGATTTAGAAGAGCCTTTCAGAAGTTTTAAGAAATGATGTAGCTCATTGGCTATTCAAGCTCCCATACTAGAGCCATAACTTGGCCGGGATACTTAGACAAGCGCGACTTCGCTCCAGTAGCTTGGAGGGCCTCTATGCCAAATACTTTGGGGATCCTATGTTGAGGGTACCGTGCTGCCTGGCACCGGAGCACAATACCTACTTGGCCCTAAACGCCCCGAATATTCACAAAGTGCGAAACCAGCAACGAATTCACGTACTGATGCAGATCTTTCAGTTCTGGGGGCTGAGGATGTGGGGTGTCGTGGGGCGTGAATCTCTTTCCCTCGCATTTACAGTTACAACTCCACGGGTTTTGGAGGTTTGGGCCAACAGTACAGAGGAACACACAGCACTGGAGCATTGAGGAAAGAAACTCTAAACCCCAAGCCCTACAACCCCTACACCCAAACCGTATACCCTAAACCCTACCCTAAAACCCTAAACCCCTAAACTCTAAACCCTAAAACCCTAAACCCTAAAACCCAAAGACCCCTAAACCCTAAAACCCTAAACCCTAAACCCTAAACCCCTAAACTCTAAACCCGAACCCCTTAACCCCTAAACCCCTAAACCCTAAACCCGAACCCCTTAACCCCAAACTGAGGCTTGGGCGGTCATGGTGGAGCTGCTGATTCATGATGATGTTCTCTCGGAGCGTGCCCTCAAAGATCCAAGGCACCTGGATACCGGGTTAGGGTTTAGGGTTTAGGACACACCTCTCTAACGGAATATACCTTAACTCAGAATAAGGGCCCATCGATGAAAGCTTCGGGTCTATGTATTCCTTAAGTGAGGGAAGGAAGGAACATGCCCTAAATCATCTACTGAGGGTCCCTCTCTACATACCTTTGGTTAGTAGGGAATGGAAGAATAGTAGTAATAGTAGTTATAATTGTACCCCATTCCTCCATTCCCTACTTGGAAGGGCAGGGGACTTAGTAAGCAGGGGAAAAGTAGAGGAATAAGTACCCTAAATGGAGTTACCCCCAATTATAACCCTACTTATAACCTACTTACTAAGTCCCCTGCCCCTCCAAGTATAAACCCTCTACCCTAAACCGCATAGACCCCTTTAAGGAACCCTATAGATCCCTTTAAGGAGCCCTTTAAGAGGCCTTACTAAGTCCCCTGCCCTTCTAAGAAAAGGAACTGCTAACCAAAGGTAAGTCTAATCGAGGGTCAGACTGCGGACTCCGATCGGCTCTCTCGGGTCTTAGAGGGTGGGAGGAACTGCTCTTGATTTTGGTTTAGGGGTTCAGGGGTTTTAGGGGTTTAGGGTTTTAGGGGGCTTAGGGGTTTTAGGGTTTAGGGGTTTTAGGGTTTTAGGGGTTTTCGGGTTTAGGGTTTAGGGCTCTAGGGCTTTCTTCGTTAGAAGTCGCTCTTTGTGAGATGGTGCACAAGCACACCTGTACCGTGATCAGAACCTTCAAGAAGCCCTGCCCTACATTCTACACCCCAGGGTGGAAGACCTGAGCCGTTGATGCTTCAAACGCAGGTTGCAAGCTGGTCTTTCCAGACTGGCTTGTGTTAGTGTGCAGGTTTTTTCGCCTCAGGGGGCTAGGGGTTCAGTGGCCGAGTGAGAGTGGGGTTCGGGATTCAGAGGTGCGCGGGCAAAAAAACCGAGTCTGCTGGTGGCTTGGTAGGATACCAGCAGCTCCGGAGTTTGTTAAGCCCGAAAAAACCCGAGGCTCTTCTCAAGTAGGGAATATAGCTGAAACCAGCTCTAAAAATTACTCGTTTATGTTGATCTATTCCTGAATTGATTTACCGACATTGGACTTTTTTGGCATAACGGGCCCCAAGCCCAACCAAGGCCCGCCAACACGACCCCTTTCAGCATCTGAAGGGCACGAAAACTTCAATAAAACACACGAAAAGACCTTTAATCAAGAGCCCTAGAAACCCAAAGCCCCAAAGCCCTTGACGCTGAATCCTGACCACCCGCTTCAGCATCTGAAGCACCTGAGCGCAATAGGCAATATGACCGCTGCTCGTATCGGGTGCTTCGACGAAGCTTTGCCCGCCACTCCTCGCAAAGGCTTCCATGGCTTCGAGCTAAAGCTTAGAGTTTAGGGCTTGTTTGTTTGGGCTCAATTTCAGTCCGCAGAGTGCCTCCCCAAATCCCACTTGGGCGAGAGTTCTGACACTTTGCCTACATACGAGAGTTTAAGGTTTCGGGGTTTAGGGTCTTGGGTTAGGGCTGAAGATGTACTCGTAAGGTTAAGCCAGGAAGGACCCTGTCTGGAAACGTCAAACTGATAAACTCGCAGCATGTACGAAAACTTCAACATAGTTTGGCAGGAGGACTCGTGCGAGAAGCAATAATATAGTCTCCTGACCTAGACCCCCCGGCTCCAGATGAGGAATTTAAAGAGGGATCCTTAAACCCTAAACCCTAAACCTTCCCTAAGGAGCGTTCAAGAAAGGGGTGGGGCGTCGTTGACCGAAGGTGCACATTACCAACCTCCAGCTCCGACTGACTCCCAAGCCATAACCAGAGACTCCAATATCCCTTAATTAAGGAATATTCCTTAAATCCTATTAAGGATCCTACTATAATTTAAGGCATATTCCTTAATTAAGGGATATTGGAGTCTCTGGGATAATTCGATCTACGGATGACGACGCAAAACGACAGAAACTCTGCATCCGAGGTTCTGGGATCTGGGTTTCGTATATGAGAGTTTCCGAAAATAGGGGACTCCTAATCTAGTACCCAACACAGTAGGATCCTTATTATAAGGACCCCAAAATAGGATACCCCCCAATTTTCGGAAACTCCCATATAGCCAGATCCTGCTTTTACTATAGCACCGCCAAACGGGCTAAAGGATTCCCTTTGTACTCCCTAGACCACCCCCTACTACCCCCCCCCCCCCCCCCAATTATATATACCCCAAATACCCACCATCAAGGGCCATAAGGGCTCTGTGAAAAGGGCCATTCGGGGGGTCCTGGTATAAGCCCTAAACCCCTAAACCCCCTTATAGAACCCTAAAAAATCCCTTTAAAGGAACCCCTAAGCCCCCTTGCTTTGGATCACCACTGTTAGGGAATCGGATTGATAGTTAAGGGGTTTAAGCTGGTATAACGTAACCAGTGGTTTTGGGGTTCCCTTGGCTCTTTCGCTCCTTATTTAATAGGGATTGTCATCATCCCTGGCTCCTTAGCTTCTCCTATATCAATGGTTAGTAACAAAGCCAGCAGGATTACTGCAGGGTTTAGGCAGGCCCTGGCCCTGTGAGTGGCCAGACGTCGGAGGCCAAATGCGGGTGTCTAGAAATTCAGAATTCATGTTTCGAGTCGTGGGTTCAGGGGTTTAAAGGGGGATTATAGTTTGGAGTTTGGAGTCTTGGGTTCAGGGGTGTAAGGGGGTTTATAGTTTGGAGTCTTGGGTTCAGGGGTTTAAGTGGTTTATAGTTTGGAGTCTTGGGTTCAGGGGTTTAAGGGGTTTATAGTTTAGAGTCTTGGGTTCAGGGGTGTAAGGGGGTTTATAGTTTGGAGTCTTGGGTTCAGCTGGGTTTGGGGGGTTATAGTTTGGAGTTTGGAGTCTTGGGTTCAGGGTCTTAAGGGGTTTATAGTTTCGAGTTTTGTGTTCAGGGGTGTAAGGGGGTTTATAGTTTGGAGTCTTGGGTTCAGGGTTTAAGGGGGTTTATAGTTTGGAGTCTTGGGTTCAGGGGTGTAAGGGGGTTTATAGTTTGGAGTCTTGGGTTCAGGGGTTTAAGGGGTTTATAGTTTGGAGTCTTGGGTTCAGGGGTTTAAGGGGTTTATAGTTTAGAGTCTTGGGTTCAGGGGTGTAAGGGGGGTATAGTTTGGAGTCTTGGGTTCAGCTGGGTTTAGGGGGTTATATACTGGAATTTTGTATACTTGGTTCAGGGGTTTAGGGGTTTATAGACTAGAATCGTGTATATGTTTCTGTCGGCCGGATGGCTTTCGGGCTTTAGGGTTGGAATCGGACGGTCCCGTTCAGCGGGTGGAGCTCGCCGATAACTGTCTGCAAGAGGGTGCCTCAGGTTCGCATCTGGTGGGAAAGCCGAAACACGGAGCCTTGGTCTGGGGTGTTTCTTGCCCTACCTTTGGTTATTCGGGAATGGAGGAATGGGGTACAATTATAACTACTATTACTACCATTCTTCCATTCCCTACTAACCAAAGGCAAGTCTTGCGGGCCCTACCCTAAACCCCGAAAAGTTGGAAACCGGTTAAGGACAAATTTGTGCTGGGAATGCCTATGCATTACTTACTCTTAGGGGTTGAGGCTATTGGGTTTCCAACTTTTGGGCTTCTACTGTAGGCCCAAGGTTTACTGCTTCGAATTCTGGACTGCAAGAGGAGCCTGAAACTTCATAACCGAGGCTCTTTGAGCAAACGAAGGGGTTACTATAGGGGATTAAATAATTACCAGGGTTCCTTTAAAGGGATACTAAACGGGTTCCATTAGGATTTAGGGATATAGTGGCCTAAATAGTTAATAATTACCTGTACTATTTTGGGGTTCCTTATTTAAATTATGGTAGAATGGGCCCCGAAACCCTATTATCATTATTAAGGCCCCTGTATTAGTAATACGTGCTGGAGCATCTTGGTGCATTCGGCGCTATCATCCATGGCATGCGATGGTCGAAGATTTGCCAGTATACTGGTAGGATTGCAGTAAGTACCCGCGTTGGCACACCAGAGAGTAAGTTGCCTGCCCCTACGGCAGCTCACAGGCTTACGCCATCAACGGCAGACTTGCGGGAGAGTGCTTGGATGATGGGCTGAAAGCCTCTACTGCTCAACAGTCTCTTTTGCGACAAAGCCATCAACCCCTAAACCCTATATCCCTGTAGGTGTAGGAATTCGATATCGGAAATCCTGCACACCCCGGTTGGATAACTGCCACCAAGGCACTCTTGCCCGCGCCCACACGCCCAATGATACCCACAAGTTCCTTCAGGTAACGAGTTTGAAGTCTCAGGTAAAGTTGTGGGTTTAGTGCTTCTCTCGCCCTCTCTCTGCAGAAGTAGAAGAGGAGAGAGAGAGAGAGAGAGAGAGAGAGAGAGGGAGAGAGAGAGACAGAACCAAGCACCCAAACTGTCTTCCTTTCTTTCTCCCTCCCTCCCTCTCCCTCCCTCCCTCTCTCGCTCGATCTCTCTCTCTCTCTCTCTCTCTCTCTCTCTCTCTCTCTCTCTCTCTCTCTCTCGCTCTCTCTCTTCCTAGGGTCCATTTTCAGACGAAGCCCGAGCCTCGAAATCATGAGTAAACACTCAGAAGTTCCAGCCAAAACGAATTCCCGCTTGTCCTGAACATAGCTTGTCTTGTTTTGCAGGAGGAGTAAGGTAAACCCTAACCCCTGCAAGCCCTTTCTTGCAGCAGGCTTCTGTCGCCTAGAACCGCCGAGACCTAAGCCCTAAACCAGGTGAATACCACACTCTGTAAACCCTCCGCTTCTTTTATCAGTGAAGGACCTGGCTCGCCCGAGGCTTTTTCCGAGTCTCTGAAAGCTAGGGACAGCATATTCAGCGAAGTTTGAAATCCAAAAGATTATGGCTGTTTTATAGCTCTTTAACAGGATAAGTGACCCTACAGAATAATCGTGGCAACTAGTACATTATGGCCTTTTCACAGGCTTCATATACAAAGGAATCCTAAAGACATATCTAATTATGTAATCAGTTAGCCTTGGGAAAGCAGCCTGCAAAGCCCAACTCAACCCTGCGCTGCTTGTCGCGACCAGGTGGCACCCTGCGGCACTGCGATGTCCAAGTCTTTCAATATCGGCTTCCTTCGAAGTCTTTCGGGGTCTTGCGTGATTAGGGTTGAGGGTTTAGGGTTCAATTTCTTGGCCGGGCCTAAGTCCTTAGAAAAGCCAGCTTGGGGAAGGCAGGCTACAGAGACAACTGGGATTGGTAAACAAGTGCTTAGATTCGTTTTCCGACAGTAAATCCTGGATCTTTCCGTAGGGATCCAAAAAGTAGAAAGCTTTCTTTGAAATACCCTTTAGTAGTATGGGGTCCCGAATTTGGGATTTGCTTAATTGTCTGAGGGTTTGGGTTACAGCTCGACCCTATAGGCATTAAATCCTCAGCCATTTTTGGGACTGGGGCTGCAGCGCACATGCCCGCATGCCCAGCCCCAAAATCCTCAATACACAAACACGGCTTTAAACGCTGAACAAGAGACTCTTGGGTGGCTTCAACATTGTATTGGCAGATCCCTTTTCGGGCTTGGCTTAAAGCTATATCTATATCTATATATATATATATATATATATATATATGGATCTCACGGATTAAGGTTAGAGGTGTTGGGTATTTAGGGTTCTGGCTTTTAGGACCAGTAAGTTCCGCAAAGAGCCGTGAGCGGGTTCCGGTCCGCAAGGCTATGCTACAAGGGCGTCTGTACTCAATCGCCAAAATCATGGCAGTAAGTCCTGGGTCGGGGTTTAGTGGAATTGTTCCGATCCCCACATCACCCTAAACCCTAGCGCAAACTACTTGGAGGATCATGGGACTTAGTAACTAAGGTTATATATAAGCACCTTATAATTGGGCTTATGAGTAGTTATAAGTATAGCTACCCTAATTATAATCCTGGTTACTAAGTCCCATGGTCCTTTAAGTATCAGAGTATCAGAAGCCAAGACCATCTTGGGGCTTCGAAGCCTGTCAAGTCGGGCCCCAAAAAAGCACATAAGCAAAAATCAGGGTAGGGATGTTCCATATAAATCCCCTTATACTGAAGCCCAATAAGGTAGGGATGTCCCCATAAAATAAATGCTTATGCTTATGTGCTTTTTGGGTCGCTAATCAAGAGCTATATCACAAACCTCCCCAAGCGCATGAGTCGAATGATCCAAGTGAAGCGCGGCCACAGACTTGCTAAGACAAGCCTTTTCGCATAAAAGTCACTCTTGTGAGGGTTTAGGATGGTTTAGGGTTTGGGTCTAGGGTTTAGAAAGCACTTTTTAAGTTTGGGGCTCGGGAGGTCCACTTCCATAGCTACGGAAACCTGCAGCCAGGATGGGTTAGCCGTGCGGATTAGCCGTGCGGAATCCTGGGCACCACAAACCTAAAACCCAGGTGACTCGCAGGCATGCAGTTTCTGTCCGGGTGTGTACTGTGGCAGTGCTTATAGAATCATACCAGATTTTCGTATCAGGGCCAACCACGCCCAAGAAGGAGGAAACGTGCATGTAATCTTGAGTAGGCCCGAGAAAACGCACAGGCTCGAAAACGCCCAGGACGATGCGAGTCTGGTGAGCCTTCTAAAGCCATATCCCAAACTCCGGAAGCCTACCCAAAGAGCCGAATACCTCCTATAGAAGTCAAGGCTAAACCTCAAATCTCAAGTGCAGCTCGGCACAGTTTGGGGTACAGTATACTGAGTACAGGAACATGCCCAAAACTCTGTGTATCAGCTGGGCACCCGCTACCCTAAAGCCTAAACCCTCCTAAGCCCGAACCCTAAGGGTCCATGTGCCCAAATAGTATATACACTGGCCCCAATGTACCTATATAGGGACTACTTTAAGGCCAATGTATATACTATTTTCGGTACAGGGACCCTTAAACTCTAGAACCCTAATAGATCCCTTATAGAACCCTTATAGTAACCCTTAAAAAGGAACCCTTAAAGGAACTTTTAAAGGAACCCTGAAAGGGACCCTTACAGGAACCCTTAGAGGAACCCTTGAAGGGACCCTTATAAAGGAACCCTTAAAGGGACCCTTAAAGGAACCCTTAAAGGGACCCTTATAAAGGAACCCTTAAAGGGACCCTTAAAGGAACCCGCAAAGGAACCCTTAAAGGAAAAACCCTAAACCCTAAACAAGGAACCCTTATATAAAGGAACCCTTAAAGGGGCCCTTAAAGGAACCCTTAAAGGAACCCTTAAAAAGGAACCCTTAAAGGAACCGTTAAAGGAACCCTTAAAGGAACCCTTAAAAAGGAACCTTTAAAGGAACCCTTCAAAAGGAACCCTTAAAGGAACCCAATATACCGCAGCCACAGCGTCGCCCCGGCATAGGTGAAGTTCCCCATCACCCGCAGAGCCGGTGCGTTCCTGAAGCCACGGAGCTTCCAAAGAGCTTTCATTTTTGATTCTGTACCAGGACCCTCCTTGTACCCTCAAATAGGGGTATATGGGCCCAAATAAGGGGCATTTAGGGTCTAATAGAGGGTAGATGGAGGGTCTAGGTATTAGGGCTCCATAATGCTTATATATATATATATATACTTATGTCCTTTCAAAGGTAGGTTTCATTTTTGATTCTGTATTAGGGCTCCTTAATATACTTTTTTCATATAAGTCCTTAAAAGGTAGGTTATTTGGAGTTTAAGGGAACCCCCTAAACCTTCTCGAAGGTTTAGGATTCAGGGTTGAGCTTTGGGGTGGGCTTTGCTAAGCAGACATGGAGTCTTGCAGGTTGATTTGTTTGCCTGTCCTTTTCTTTCTCGGAGTCCCTTCCTCTTCGTCAGGTCACAAAACTGTGTAGCCTTCCTCAACCCCCAGATTTAAACCTAAGTAGCCCGCTAGCTCTGGAAAGATGCAGCGATTTGTCCTCGCGAAGCGGGTTTTCCAAAGATGAGGGGCCTTATTATAGATCCCTTGTAGAAGCCCTTTAAAGGAACCTTATTCTAATTAATAAGGCTCCTACTATATCACAGCACCCTAATTTAAGGCCTGTACTATAAATGGTAGTATAAGGGCCCCTGAACAAGGTACAATCAATGTTGAAAGATATGTCAGCCGGGGAATCTTTGGGTTGTTGGGCGGGCAATATTTGCCAAAAGGTTCCAAAGCACCTGCATGGTAGAATGTAGGGTTTCTATATTCGGAATTACTATTATGATTTGGGGAAGTATCCCCCATAACAGTACCTAGGACCCGTTGGGTTGTAAACTCGGAGAAAGGGCCTGGATAACTGCAAAAGAGCTCTGGATGGTCGTGGAATGTTTTCATCTTACGTATGGCGCTTTAAGACATATACTATTCACTATTCTTCGTCAGTCAGACCTGAAGGCCCTGAGAATTTCTAGCCCGAGGCCCAAAAGAACTGGGCTCCACGAGCTGGATTGAAAGAAGAAGGGTTTAGGGTTTAGGGTTTAGGGTTTAGGGTTTAGGGTTTAGGGGAGTCTTTCGCCTACTACCTGGATCTGCAACTCATGATCGCATTATGCTTAGCTGCTGGTCGGACTTATCTGAGCTGTGTAGAAGCATGTCAGCACGCAAGGCAAGGAATCCCACATCGCACAGGTTAAACCGCGGTTTCAAACCCCTGCGCCCCAAACCTCACACCTCAATCGCGAGTTTGCATCATCCCTCAAGTCAAACGCAAAGCAGGCAGGTTTCTGGGTCTGCACCGTGGGCTGCCGCACCACATCCTTCTGAAATCCACATCGCGGGTTCAGCAAACACTGGTGCCAGTTCAGGGGTGTGGGGTCTTGAAGCAAAGGAACCGGGCGCTTGCATTTTCGGAACCATATACTATAAAGGCCTTGATAGTTGCAATATAAAATAGGGTTGTGGGGTATTCTATGTTCTAACTTTACGGGGGGACTATAAGGGGACAACAATACTAATTATGCACGCTTCTATGCTAGCCAAGTCTCCGCCTTTTCCCTACATAGCTTTTTGCAAGTCGGGCAAGTTGGCGAGGGATGCTTTGGGTTATCTAGCTCCTTGAAACTTACCGTAAGTGTTCCTGAAATGGTTCGAACAGGGTGACCGGGGGATAACTTCTAACTTCGCCCGTGCGGAATAGGTGTAGAGGTATAGTGATTATAGCATAACATAACATAGTATAAGGGGCGGTAACCAACACCGTGTATTGTAAAGGGTCTAGGAGGTACTTATGTGCTATGAATTGCCCGAAAAGTTCCCAGGTTGCCACCGCATGTCTACGCTTCCTATTACTCTGGAGGCCAAAGCCTCAACCCCTTCAAACCTCAACCTACACCCCTGGATGATTGTCACCGATCTCCTCTAGCATCCTTATGATAGAACCCCCCTGTCGCACCCTTAAGGAACCCTGGATCAGGAAGCGCCATTTCTTAGGTATCATCGCCATGAGGAAGAATCACAGCAGGTGAATCGTAAGGCCGGTCTCAGGACGTCGAGTTTATGCGTCTTGTCAAGGTTGGAAAAGGTTTTAGCTTTATCGGGCTATGATAAGGCGACAGCAGAAACACATGAAGTAGGGTCTGTATTGCCTGTATCCCAATTAGTCATAAATACATGGGCCAATGTGCAAAAGCAGCCTGTAAACACTCACAGATCCTAGTTTTACCTCCTTTTGGCCACTGGCTAAGACTTCACATGCCTGAATGTGCACTGTTGAGTAATAAGGGGGCCTTAGGAATCGGAAGAGGTATTGGGGGGGGTGGCGTATAGATGGGTATAGTTTAACATGCCTGTGTATGGCTTCCCATGACTAGAGGGGGGAACAACTCACTCATCATGCCGACCCCTGTACTATGCAGGTTTAGGCCTTAGGGTTGTGGAGTACCTTGGTGCACTATGGCCTTGAAGCAGGCACCCTACATCCCTTACAACCCTGCGCCCTTCCGAGCACTAAATCCCGACCTAAACCGTAAAATCCCCAACAACCCTTTTTGCATCCGGGTCCCCTTGCTGCCGGGAACTAGCCGAGGCCCAGACATTAAAGCCTAAATGCGAACGAAACTGCTAAACTCGAGGCCCCGAAACTCTGTCCAAAAGCCCTTGACTTGAACCCAGGCCAAGATTCCTCTGGCCGATCAGGTTGCGCTAGGAAGCGCCTGTCCACAGTTCATAGAGACCCTCCCCCTCCCCCCTTCCCCCACCAAAAAAGGCCCAAAATCAGGCACATAGTTTATTGAGGTTTACAGGTTCGTGTTTAAGGTGTTGGGCTTGAAAGGTTCTAGAGCAGTCTCGTGAGGTTTAATAAGACGAGCTTTCAAGTTCACACATTTCAGTAATTATATATACAAGTATAATGTCAGTATGTAGAGCCATGAAGTCTTGGAACGCCTTCCAGGACCGGGGTTGTTATGCGCTATAGGCTACAAGTGCATAGACCCTTTCAACCGAAGCTCACGGTTATTGCAGTACATGTTTCCACAGCGTCGCGTAATCTCCGTGACTAACCCCGAGCATCGTCATCTCAGAAGTGGCAAACACAGACGCACGCTCGCCTCTAGACTTGGGAGAAGCTCTCAGCCGTTAACTCGAAGCAAGACGAAAGTCATATGGCACGAGCATGATAGCAACTGCTCGCATGATGGGACGCTGATGAGACAAGAAGATGACACATCACGGAACTTCACAGCCCAGCATGCAAGACATGTTGGCTCAAGACTCCAAAGGAGGCAAATATCAGCTCCACTACCATGTCTTGCACCTTCAGCACCGTTCTCGTCAAATCCAAGCATAGACGCAAGATTCCATGGGAATATCGAAACCAGGCCAAGACATGAGTATTGCAAAGAGGTGTGCATCAAACTTTCTAGAGACGTACAGCATGCATCACCCAAACCTCTGACCCGACGACAACCAAAACCCCCAACCCCTAAAAAACCTGAACCCTAAAACCAGCAGCCCTAAGCCCTAAACCCCAAACCCTAGACACTAAACCCCTAAACACCTTATTGAACGAGATCTCTCTCACCTAGACCCTGAAACCTGCAGCCCGAAGCTGTCCTGATGCGAAAGAAGCTGTTCGGCACGACCATCGCCCGGCCCAGACCATTGGAGAGCTGCGAGATGTTGCCCAGCAAGGCCTTCGAAGAAGGCCGTCTTAGTTTAGGGTTTAGGAAGGCCGTCTTAGGGTTCAAGGGTTTATAGGGTTTGGGTTCGTAGAGTTTAGGGTTTGAGGGTTTCGGAACCGGGTTTAGGGTCAGGGTTGAGGGTCTTGGTGTTTAGGGTTTACGGCATAGAGCATTCGACGCGCTGAGCAAACTGCCGAGAAAAGGGTTTCCCTTGCACCAGCACTTAAGTTCAGGGTTTAGGGGATTACGGGTGCAGTGTTCAGGTTGTCCCAGCCATTGGTCTAGCGGCTTGGGTTCAAAGGTTTAAGGGCTTGCGAAATTCCAAAGTTTCTGAATTGAGGTCTAAGGCTGAGGATTGCAGACGCTGGATTTGAACTGCTTGGTTTGGACATGCTTAACTTAACACCTTATGATTTCAATTTATACTCTTTGAATTGAGCGGTATTGGGCTCGAGAGTAGGCTGAATGGCTGCTTGCTCACCACCGGCGTGTCTTTGTGGCCAATGGGCTGCTGATCTTGAAGCTATGCTTGTGTCCTACCTCTCCAATATCCAGGGGAAAAATCAGGGTTGAACCGCATTTTTCTTTGTGAGAAAAGTACCACATTGGAAGACTCCTCCTGAATTTGTATCAACCACTGCCCATGGTAGATTCCTAGCCCCATACTTAGACCCTAAACACTCCTGATATCTTAGATGACCTTTTTTATGATTATTATGCCCCGTACTTAGAACCTAAACACTCCTGATCTTTTAGAGACATTTATTATGCCCCGTAAGGACGCCGGCGCGCAGCGATCTGATAGGTACCTGAATCAAGCGCTGCACGATCATGACCTGGTGTGCCGGGATCTGGCCGTTGCCTGCGCAACTGAAGGGCACAGCCGGAGGCCGGAGAAAGGTACTATAGGGGCCTTTATAATTAGAATAGTGTTCCTTTAAAGGGGTCCAAAAGGGTTCCTTTAAGGGTTTTAGAAAGGGTCTGTATAGGGGCCTTTATAATCAACTAGAATGGAATTTTGGGGCCCATTGTACTATAATTACAACAAGGAACCCCCAAAGTAGTAGAGGTAATTATTTAGGCCCCTATAGTACAGGATTTTCTTGCCTCTTATCCAGCTAGGGCGAGCCCTGCAAGGCGAGGTAGGGGATTTTGGGTCCAGGGATTTAAGCGCAATGGGACTTCGGGTTTCCGGATTTAGGCTTTTCTATCTAGGGCTTAAGGGCTTTAGGATGGAACAAACCCCGCTGAATCTAAATGCTTCTCCAACACAGACTCCTTCATCTGCTGGTTCATGCATAAAACCCTGCCCCCAACACAGCCGGAATCCTCAACCCTCGTTGAAACGGGCTACCCGCATGTAGAGGCGAGTTCAGAGCCAGAGCTGTTCTTCTTGGTGGTTTGGGGCTTGTGCTGACATGACTCAAGGCCCTTGGGCTTCAGAGGCTTAGGGGTTTAGGGTTTAGGGGTTTAGGGTTTAGGGGTTTAGGGTTCAGAGAGTCTTGGCCCGTTGGCACTTTTCGAAATTCAACACATGGAACGCTTGAGAAACGCACGGCTTAACTCATATGTACTACAAAGTTATATGCAGGCATTAACCCGCTTCCTGACTTCCTCAGTTCTGCTATGTGTTTAGAGCTTCGTTCCTTCCTGCCTTCCTGACTTGACTCTTAGCTGCTTACTTACTTACTGGCTTGCTTACTTCTCTAACCAATACGTACAGACAAAAAGACACAGATAAATATGCATAAAATAGACATATATACACACGGTTTTAGGATTCTTGGGGGATGAGGTTGGACGGTTTGGGCTGGGGGGGTTTAGGGTTCAGGCTTTAGGGTTTAGGGTGTTGCTGAATTTGCCTTGTTCGGTCCCTTTTCCTGGGACCCTGTCAGCCCCATCTCCGAGAATGTAACCATGCACTGCTGTACATACTAACCTACATTTTACAAAACGTCCGTCATTTCAATTTTCGGGGGTCTACATGCCAGCTTACACCTATGCCCATGCTGGAATGCCTACATTGGCCTACATCACATAACACGGTACAGTATGACATGCTACAATACAATATAACATAACATAACACGGTATAGTATACTCTGGGAGTTTCCGAAAAGAGGGGACCCAAATACAGTACCCTAAATAGTAGGATCCTTATGAAAAGGACTCCAAAATAAGGTACTTCCTGTTTTCGGAAACTCCCATATATAAAATATTATGTATGACGTTGTATATGCAGCGCCATGAAGACCAAGCCATGGTCCGCGGCCTGCTTTCGACAGGAGGATCCACATTGTGATCGTCAGCACACCCCAGGGCAGGGTGTGTGCCACTGCCGTCATGACGCCGGTCATCACCTCAGCTTCATTTAAGGGCATTGAGCTTAGGGGTTTCGACGCTCACAGTCCCACAAGTTTTTGTTGATGCTCGTGCTCGGCAATGCCAGGCGAGCACTCGCACAAGTTAGGGGTTGAGGCTAGACATGACGTCTGTTCTTGTGCAGTTTTCTGGTTTACATTGGTTCAGGGCATAGTTATGCATGCCCAGCTGTGCTTGAGTTGATATGCTGGTGACTTCGTAATTTGCCTGTAGAATGATACCCATGGACAGCTCTGCACCACTGCGACACGGGGTTATAACCAGCATCCTTGAGGCTGCACCTTTCCTGCAGAGAGATGAGGACGTCAAAACTCAAAGCCCGCGGTGTTCAGCGCGTATGGCCGCCTGGTGAACCCTCTGCAACTCCACACCCTCAGCCCTGCACCCGTAATCGTGAAACCTTACACTTCAACCGCACAAACCCCCTTCTCAAACTCGAAACCCCTCAACCCTAAACCCGAAAGGCTCCGAGCCCAAGACCTGGCAAACCTTGACCAGGTGTCGATTTCAACAACCTCCAACTTGTCTTCTAATTTTAGGGCTCTAGAGAAACAATAAGAAAATTAAAAACAAGCCCAACAGCGATAGCTACTTATTGTCTCCATTGTAGTTCCTTTTTTTGGTTTAACCATTTTTATAGTAAGGATCCTAAAAGGTAACCCCCAAAAGGAACTACAATGGAGACTATACTTTATTCCGACTCATTCCTTTATAGAACCCTTATAGATCCCTTAACGGAACCCTTTAAGGAACCCTAAACCCCTTTTAAAGGAGCCCTTTAAGGAACCCTAAACCCCTTTTAAAGGAACCCTTTAAGGAACCCTAAACCCCTTTTAAAGGAACCCTTTAAGGAACCCTAAACCCCTTTTAAAGGAGCCCTTTAAGGAACCCTAAACCCCTTTTAAAGGAGCCCTTTAAGGAACGTTGAAGTTGTCCGAAGCACAGCCATTGCTCGCGCGCAGTAAAGCTCGCCATCCCTGGCCTGCAGGTTGCTAGGGCAGGGACCCTTAAAAGTTTGGGCTTTAGGGTTTAGGGTTTAGGGTTTTGGGTTTAGGGTTTTGGGTTTAGGGTTAAAGGTTTGGGTTTAGGGTTTAGGGTTTAGGGTTTAGGGTTTTGGGTTTAGGGTTTTGGGTTTAGGGTTAAAGGTTTGGGTTTAGGGTTTAGGGTTTTGGGTTTAGGGTTTAATTCGAGGCCTCTGAGCCCAAACCGGCCCTAACCCCTGCTCCCTGAACAAACTCTTGCGCCAACCCCCCACGCCTCCTAAACCCTCAGCTAAACCCTAAGCCCTAAACCAAAATCCCCAAACCCTCAGCCAGCCCTCAACCAAACTCTAACCCTAAACCTCTCAAGCCTTCATCAAAAACTGCAACCCTGACCAAAGGGAAAAGGAGGGACCCTTAATTAATGGGGACCCCTACCCCAGAATGGGCTATATAATGGGTATATAAAAGCTATAGCAGCTATATAAAGGGTATATACCTAAGGGTCCTTACTAAGGGTCCCTCCTTTTACCCTTGGACCTTAGCTGTGTAAGTTTAACTCCTAACCCTAAACCCCTGAAGCCTTCCTTAGCTTCTCTTGGGCCGCCCTGAACACAAACCCCCAAACCCAAAACCCTTAACCCTAAACCACTCAAGCCTTCATCAGCTTCTCTTGCGCCAGCTTCTCCCAAGCCAAAGCCTTGATCGTTCGGATCGAAAGTAGCGACTCCTGAGCTTCTCAACAGTTAAATTAGGGCTCGTGATGTTTATTTTGGGCTCCTGATTAAGCTTTAGGGTTCCTTTAAAGGGTCTAAAGTATAGGGTTTAGGGTTTAGTCCTCAGCTGCTTATATAACAATCCCCTGAGTTCGCAATAGTTGCCCCTTAATTACGGAATATACCTTAAACCATACTATTAAGGCCCCTTTTATTTAAGGCATATTCCTTCACTAAGGGGTATTGGGATCTCTGAGTTAGATCAGGGTTCGTTTGTTTCAGGGTTCCCGTTAAAGGGGTCCAGTCTCTGTAAGGTTGAAAGGGGTCTATATAGGGTTACTATAAGAATTCTGTGGCATAGGCGCCATCCTAAGTATGGTAGACTTTCGGGAAAGTTATGCTATGACGATAAAATGGAACCCTATAAGGAATCATGTGAGCCATTCCGACTTCTCTTAGGACCGCGAAGAGGGTTCCACTGGGACTGTTTATGGCTGCACGGGACACAAATAAGGACCTTGTTGATGAGAATGGGTTCTCTGGCTTATTGCGACTAGACTACAGTCACTGCAGGACATTATGACCCTTTTTCCCACTGGACTCAAGTCTAGCCAGACCTCACACCACAATCATCTTGACTGAAGCCTGCCATGCAAGCTGCGGTCGGGGCTGCAGATCTTATGACCCGGAGCCCTACGCCTGAACTCGATATCCCGAACTCCAGCTCGGAAAAGTCAGGCCACAGGATGTTAAGGCCTCCTCAAATCCTTCCGATATGAAATACCCAAGTCTCTCACACTTAACTCACTAAACCCTGCCTGTAGCTAAAAAGACCTACCGACCTACCTTTTTAAGGTTCCTTGCTATGGTTTATATATATATATGTAGAGAGAGAGAGAGAGAGAGAGAGAGAGAGAGAGAGAGAGAGAGAGAGAGAGAGTTCCTGAAAATGCAAGCCTTTCTCGGCTACAGGCGAACGCTTAACCCATTAAGGCTCGCATACTTCTGTCATTCAAGGGGGACAAGGAGGGCCCTTTTAATGCGGACGCCTACCCTATAATGAGGTCTTTATTAAGGGTCCCTCCTTTTACCCTTGGAGTCATGAACGGCTAAGGCTCTTAAAGGCTCTAAGTTGGGTTCTTCTTGCGGAACTTGATGTAAGTACCCGGGGTTTAGGATTTAGGTTTAGGGCTTAAGGGGATCAGGGGAACCCTTGTTTTTTTCACTCTAGATCCATGTTACGTCAGCTTAAACTAACGAGAACCCAACTAGTTGGCAATGGGGCGCGGAGCAGGCTTTCTCAGTTTTTAGCTCTCTGCTGTAGGGTTTCGGGTTTGGAAACTACCATGACGAAATTCCTGAAACTCTGCAGGAGTTTGGAGCCCATCCTGGCCGGGGCCATTTAAAGGGAACTCCAGAAAGTTGGAATATGGTTTCATGGTAGGATACCCTATAATTTACCTTAAAGGGGTTACGATAATCATATTCCAACTTTCTGGCTTCTACTGTATGTGATCCTGAAACACTGCTTGAAGACTAGCCGCGGTCAGCCACTTCAAGCGTGTGTCCATGAACATCTGGTATGCCCTGTCGGCATTGATGCGTGTTGAGCAAGACATGAATGTCACCTAGACATACCTAGACCTGCTAAACGCTACACCTGCGAGGTAGCAGCCCTAGAGACAGTTTTTTCATATTCCTGTAAACGATGATAATGATGGTGATGATGAACAAGGCTGCTGTAAGGCTGCAACGAATGCTGCTGAGGAGGATGATGCTCGTAGTCGCGACACCGGGGATGAGTGATGACGATGATGATTATGCTGATGAGTATGACGAAAAGCGATGTGCAATGGATGATGACAGCCATGATGAGGATGACGATGCTCGCGACAAGTGATGCTTTCGCATTGCCTGCCCTAGCGACACACTTCAGCTGAATTACACTTGTTAGTGTTAGCATGGCGAGGGCCGCTACACAAGATCAAAATATCTGACAACATCCATGCCCAAACACGCCGAAAGCCCCTCACATTTCCAACCGCCCTGCTCCTTCAAAGTCTAGAATTGTGGTTCCACGCCTTCTAGGGGAGTTTCTGAAAATTAGGGGTGCCTTACTTATTTTGGGGTCCTTATCATAAGGATCCTACTATTTAGGGTGCCATACTAGGTCCCTATTTTCGGAAACTCCCATGTAGGGTTCTAAGAGTAGAAGTTTCAGGATCGGGTGTGCGCAGGAGGAATTTGCACGGCCCTGGGTCAACGACCATCCGAGACTGCCTTAGACCGTAAACCCCGGATCTTTGCCTCGTCAAGACCATTACAAGAACTCAGGCTGATTCATGAGGGCCGTGAACGAAACTACCCCCGTATAAGCTTTTTGCAAAGGCTTGTAAGGACCTTTATTGATTGGCAAAGAGCCTGAACAAAATTGCATGCATGAAATTGCCCCCGACCGGCTGAACCTTACACCCGCTGTCCTGAACCCCCTGATGGGGGGCCCTTCATGATTATGGGGTTCAGGGTTTAGGAGGGGCCTTTGTAATTCTGGTGCTTTGGGTGATAAATATTATGGTATGGTTCTACATATACGGACTTACCAATTAGCTTGGACCCCTGTGTTACCTTGTAGGCAGGGCCTCCAGTACTGCATGGCTATGGAAGTGCTGCACATCATCAAGAACAGAACCGGCACGATGTAGGATGCACCGCCCTGAGAACAAATGGTTCGGTATGGTTTGGGAACTGCTGGCACTGTCTTCTGGTGCCTGGTCCATCTGCCAGTTTGGGGTTGCGGCTAGCGAACATATAGGCTGAGAGGGTATATTCCACCAAAAAGGGACTGACTACTGACTACACCGAGACTTTATTACATCTGTTCTGCAGTAAGAGTAGGGTTTGCCCTCTGCTGGCTTGGCTCTTGCAAGGTTGCCGGGCTGTGCATACTGCCGCGGTCAAGATGGGTCGAAAGGGGCTTTGACCCTCAAAACCGCACAACCCTGACCCCAAAGACTAAACCCAAAACTCTTGTCTTCACCACGAATCCTAAACACCTGAACCGTCTCAGCTACTGCTTCTTCGATACTCAGCTCCCTGGCAAGTCTGCGACATGGGCATCGGACTGTATGGGCTTTGGGCGATGGAAGCGGCTTTGCTTGGAGCTCCCGGGCTTCAGCCGTCTTCGGGTTACGGGCTGATACTGAGCGTTTTAACCAGGGAGAAAAAGTATAAACTTGTATTTCATATTGGTTCCATTAAGAAAAAGTATTAAAGTATGGTACTCCAAAGCCAAGGATAGGGGTTCAGGCTTTGAGCAGCAGTCGGGTGGCGATGGCATCGAAGCTGATCTGCTTCACCATGATGCTCAGGAGGACGATCATTGAGAAGGGCGCCACCAACACGCAGAGGCAGTCCTGAGTTGCGTCTTTCCGGCACAAGCCGGAGTCTCTGAAATCACCCTCAACTCAGGGTTTGGGATATTTGCGATTCCTTCTGCAAGCGTGGCACGTAATGCTAGTAATTGTAGGATATGTCCTTTCTGGAAAGTGAGGCTCGGGGTTTCGGTTTTTCGGAGTTGGAGTTACTCTGTGTGTAGGGTGTATAGCTTTGGGGTTTAGGGGGTTACGGGTTTAGGGGTTTACGGGTTTAGGGTTTAGGGTTGGGCATGATCCAAGCCTGCAAGAGCAAAGGTTACCTGCTTGCTGGGATGTATTGGGTCTGGAAAAGCATTTACTAGGTTCCCCAGAAGCCTCTTGATGACACCTTTTCCTACTTTGCGGTTTTAAGAAGGAGACCCGCCCCACCCCAAAAAAAGGGCGCGACCGGGAGACCTAGAAAAAGGAGCATTAAAAAAAGACACTGTAGCGTACTGTCGTATATGTGCCTAAACCTTGGGAGTGCAGAATTTCAGAGAGGGCTTGAGTCGGCTGGAATGAAAGTTTGGGGTTTTGGCGCATGCAGATGAAAGTTTGGGGTGGCCGAGTTGCGCGAATGAGGCCGCCCCAGCAGTCCACGATGTCCACATTCAAAATCTGTACCTCACGAAGGCCCCAATACTGAGCTGTGTTTCGGGCTCAAAAACGTGCCAAGCACAGAGCTCTATACCTTGAGGGCTTTGGGTTAAGAGTAAGAATCCTCAGCTGACATTAGAAAAACAGACACGGCAACCCAAAAGAAAGCAAACAATTGACATCGCAAGCGGTAGCCTTCGCCCGGAAATCTTTGAATTCACCATGACGTGCATGCAATACATGCCCCACAGAACACTGGACAAGAATCAGCTCATTGCGCCCTCGGCAGAAGGAAACCCTAAAGGGCCTTTGTTCGAACCTGGTCTCGAGAACCCCTAAATCCCTCAGCCCTCTTGGGCTCTATGGATGAAACCCACTGCACCAGACTGAGTTTCCCAAGACTCTAAACCCCCATAGACCCCTATAAACCCAGGTCACAGATGTTATTTGTTCGGTTTCTTCATCACCATGATTCTACTATGAAGTATTCAATCGTTATACGGCAAAACCATATTCGGCTTATTCAGGGCCCTGCCTAAAGCCACCATAGAGACTTTTCCAGTCTTTTCCGTAGTTCATATTGTAAACCCAAATAAAGCCCACACACATCTACCCTAAGGCCCCAAAGTAGTTCCTTTTTGGGCTTCGTACATAGAATCCTATAAGGTCATCCCGAAAAGGAACTACTTTGGGGCCTATGGGTAGGTTGTGGGTTGGCTGAGGTATACGGCAAGGCACCAGATTGGGTTTGTGGTTGCCCCATGGATCTGGCTCCTCATCTCCATCGGCCTGGAGCGGGCTCTGGATTCACCGGCTTCAAAGAGGCGGTAGGAGTAGTAGTAGTAGCAGTAGTAGTAGTAGTAGCAGTAGTAGTAGTAGTAGTAGTAGTAGTAGTAGTAGTAGTAGTAGTAGTAGTAACCCTTTCAAAGCATCCCATATGGACGGCTATCGGGCTCGAAGGGCTCTCTAGGGTTTTCGGGAACAGGTGGATGTCACAGCTCTTCAGCCGCCCTGGTTGCAATGAGCACTGCACAAACGCAGGCAGACCTACCAAAATCTCTCCACAACCCCGCTTGCGGGGTGGATTTGGGCTTAGGGCTTGAGAGATATATATCATCGGGTGCAGGGACGTGAGGTCAAGGGCTCTGGGGTTCTGGCCCATTTCTATCAGCCCAGGACTGACAAACAGATTTTGGCTTGAACATTATCTGGGCTTTGAAGTAACCAGGGGGAAAACCGTATAGACTTTTTTTCATAATGGTTCCTTTGAGGAACAGGTATCCAACAAAAGTATTCAAGTATGGTACTCGAAACCCAAATTATAGGCTGTAGAGTTTCTCATAATCAGCGGGTCCTGTTTTGGGGTACTTGAGGATAAGAATACTACCAACTCAGGCTACATGTTCTTCTAAAAATTACGCCGCTCAGTCCAGAAGGCTGTCAACAACGATCGTAGTAGCGTGGCCCAATCTGAAACTGAAGCCCCAAACCCTTACACAACACTCAACCCTCAATCCTTGGTAAGCCCTAAACCCTCCACCCCTTATTACTAAGCCCTGAGCCTTCAAGCCTAACTAAACCCTAAACTCTCAACCCCTACTATATAAGCCCTGAACCTTCCAACCCTAAACCCTAAACCCAAAACCCTGAACCTTCAACCTTAAACCCTCGAAGCCGCAGTCGCCGCGGCACCGCTGCTTCACGCAACCCCGAAGATGTCTCGGGGTCAGAGAGCAACGACTCAGAGATTGCCGGGACCCTATGAACGCCTGCCTCTTCAGCGTTCCTCAGTATGACTTCCTTATATGTGTTCATACACTTTGATTTTTAAGGTTGGGATGCTTTTAACTTATTTCAGCAACCCGCGATTCGGCAACCTGCCCGATGCGGCTTGCGGCTGAGAGGCTGTCTCCCGCGATTCTGGCCTGGGTCGCACAGCAACATGTGGTCACTTCTCTAAATTAGGGTCCCTTTTATATAGGGTCCGTTTTTATAAGGGTGACGTACTATTTTGGGGACTTCGAAAGGGACCCTGATTAGGGAACTTACCCAATAGTATATCTCCAGCAAGGGTTACACCCCCCCCTCTCCTCCGCCCCAACAAGCCGAACAGCAACTCGGAAATCGCCCGACGTCACTCGCAACCTGATTGGGCTTGCCTTTGCAAGCTAGGCTCCAAGCATAGCTTGTGATAGATGCTGGTGCCCTAAACTACAAGTCCGGCCAACCCTTCAAGCCTTCACCGGAACCCATTTAAGGCCAAGGCCTCAACAACTGATTCAAGGCTGTGCCGTCCGAGCTTCCTTGCAGAGCTCGCGGGGGTACGGAGAGCCTTGTGGAAGACGATCGAAGCCAGTCCTCCACCCAAGAAGTGGCGGGCATTTGTCTTTGGGGCTTCGGACAAGGCGGTCATGGAACGCCGCCTACATTATGAGGAAGACGTAAAATCTGTACAGCGCTGCGGCTAGGGTTTAGGAGGTAGGATTTCAGGCTTGGGGTTTAGGGGTGAGGTTCTGGTGACGCGTCGTACTTCCACCTTTTGTGGTTTCGACTCGTGCACTCGTTCAACGCAGAGCTCAGTCTCCAGCTTGTCACGTCCATGGTACCCATCTGGCAATTTCCGAAAATTAGGGGTACCTTATTTTGGGGTCCTTATAATAAGGATCCTACTATTTAGGGTACTATATTTGGGTCCCTGATTTTCGGAAACTCCCATCTGAGACCACGAGCGCGCGGAGGAGCGGGGACGGGGTGGATCGGTAGTAGTTGCAGGGCCACCTCCTACGTCACTCCCGAGCTCACCCCGTACCAAAACCCGGGAGTCGTGTAGGTCTTAGGCCCTTTTCTGGGAGGTTAAGACCCTACAAACAGAAACCAAGGTAGCCCTCGCAACTTCTTTCCCACCATGGAAGCCCCAAATCCTAAACCCAACAACCCTGAACCCTATAACCCTCTGACTCGATGACCCTATGACCCCAAACCGGAAGGCCTGATGCGCACATCTGCGTGTAGTGGCCGTCCACCAGGGTAGCGATGATGCTCAAAAACCGGAAAACCATCGGAGATCCCCAGATCCAGACCAAAGTCCTTGGGGTTGGGGTTCAAGGGTTTGGGGTTCCAAATCCAGAGCAAAGTCCTTGGAGTTTTAGCTTTAAGTTTAAGCTATTGCAGCTATTGTTGGCTCTTTACTTCGTTCGGGGTTTAGGGGTCTTAAAGGTTCAGGGCTTTAGGGCATTAGTAAGGGCGCTGGGTAGGGCTTGAGGCTTGGAGTTCGGGGTTCTGGTTGCCTTTTACTTCGTGTAGGGTTTTGGGCTTATGGTCCATGCAGGGGTTTAGAAAAGGTTTCGGCGCTCACACTCGGACAATCCAGGCGAGGCATATGGTTCGGAGTCTGACAGAGGGAAAAATGTTTACGGTTTGGGTTTATAGGCTTAGGTCTCAGGGCTTTAAGTTTCAGCGTTCGGGGCATTGGGGTCCGGGTTAAGAAGTGCACAGGTTGAGACCGACAGTAGTAGTACCAGCCACACTAGAGAACAACAGCAGCAGCAAAACGAACCGCCGAGCTGGGCAACAGCTGGCCAACATAACTACACGAAAGTTCTACGAACCCATAGCAACTTTATGGTCTTGTATGCGAACCTGCCAAGAATGAGCACGACTAAATCCGAACTGAGCATATGCTACTCCAAAAGGGTTAAACGTGGAACAGTGCCCAACATCTTTCCGGACCAAGATTCGCAATTGTTGTTCCCAGGTAGCCTTAGTCGGGCCGGGTATTGAGGTTCAGAGCTTGCAGAAGATCGATAAAACACAACCGTACGGGCAAGCAATCAGGCGCGCCGAGCCTGGGTATTAACCCCAAGTACACCACCGGAAGAACCAGCTGCTCTTTGTCACCAAAGATATGCACACAGCATGTGTCCAGGCACAGTGATAGAAGTTAAACAGGAAGTACTTGTGGGCATGAACGGTTTTGGGATTTGGGAATTATCCACTCCGCATCCAGCTAGTAGCCTCAAAACAACAAGTCGACAGGCCCCGGCGGCTCGTACGCCGGAATACAACTAGTTAATCATACAAGTCTCAGTGTTCACCCAGCGAACACTGGGTAGTTGTCAAAATTATGGCCGCTTTGGGGGTCCCTACTATAATACGGCACCTAATATTTAGGGTACCCGAAAGGGCCCCCATTTTTGACAACTACCCCACGACTACAATAACAATCAACAGCCTGCGCCGAGGACAAGGGCCTCGGGCTTTCTCGGGCAGATGGGACTTGCCAGAGACTCCAATATCCCTTCATTAAGGAATATATACTTTAAAGTATGATAGGATCCCTAATATGATTTAAGGAATCTTCCTTAATTGAGGGATATTGGAGTCTCTGGGTTCGTGCTTCAGTCGATTCGGTAGAGCTTTGGGAGATGGCTGAGGGCCCGGGTGTTCAGGTTTACTAGCATCATATGGGTGGTTGTCAAAATTGGCGTCCCTTTTTGGGTACCCTAAATAATAGGTGCCGTACTATATTAGGGACCCAAAAAGGGACCATAATTTTGACAACCACCCATATTCATATAGGCTCTAGGGTTCAGGGTTTAGGGGTCAATGGTATCCATCACCGTCACCACTTCTGCCAGCAGCATCTGAACCAGGTGCAATTCGTGAGTGTCGCCATACTCATCGCCCTCTCCTATCCTGACTTCTGCTATGTGCCTCACAAATGCTGGGCTTTTTAAGTAACCAGGGGAGAAAAAAGTATATACTTTTATTTCATAATGGTTCCATTAAGAAAAAAATATTAAAGTATGGTACTCCAAAGCCCAGAATAGCAGTTCTCAGGCTCTCTTAGCTCTAGCATGATCCGAATGAGGCCAGCGGCTCAGCTGCTCCCCCGGATGCTGATTCGCCCACCTCGCGACGAGGGGCAGACGGCATTCATGGCGAGGAAGCGGAGAAATTAGCTCAGGGAATTGAAATTAAGCAGCCCTAAACCTTGAACCCCAAATCCTGATCCCTAAGGTCTTAAACTCTAAAGTCCCTAAAGCTTGAACCCCAAATCCTGAACCCTAATGCCTAAGGTCTTAAACTCTAAAGTCCCTAAAGCTTGAACCCTAGACCCGAACCCAAGAGCCCGAGCCCTTTGAAGCTAAAGCCTCCAGCATCGAACCATTTTCAGACGGGTGTCCAAGTCTAGGCCCGAGCCCTGAGTCGTACGGTTGATGATATAACTCCTGCATTACCCATAATGAGAAAATACCATACCTACTATTTGCTTAAGAAACCCCCAAACAATAAAAATAATAATCCCTATATTACCACCATAAGGAATATATTCTTTATTTTTTGGGGGGTTCTTAAGCAAATAGTAGATACTTGCCATAGTTTAGGGTCCTACTTAAGGTAATGCAGGGTTTATATCATCAACCGTAGAACCTACTTCCACTGTGCAATGTCAAAGCCTGGAATAGCTTGTAAAGGGAGCACAGTTTATAAGTCTCAGTAGCCCGGCTTTCGGGGTTACACACACACACACGTGCGCAAAGAGACGTGTATTAGTAATACAGAAATACATACACGAACAACAATTCATTTCCCCGAATACGGGCAAAAGAAGAGGTGGACTGCAAGATTATCGGTCAGTTGTGACTACTCAAACATGTCAGAGTTGGTTTGATTTGGAAACGAAGGCAAGAAGGTAAATGAGATAGGGTGACCCACTTCAGTGATATCCTAAGCCCTGAAGCCCTTAAACCCCCGTAACCCTCACACCGCAACGCAAGAACGCTGAGCACGGCCAAGCTGCGCATCCAAATGTTCGAGGGAGCCCAGGAAGTATTGAAGACCGACTACACTCATAACCTGGGTGCGTCGGACTGGAATTTGGTGTTCAGACAGGGCCGAAACCTATAAACTTGTGCTCTCTGAACCCTATATTAGCTCAACCGTCAATCCTGAACCGCAAGCCAAGCATGACTTGGAGACCCTAAACACGTGAACCCTAAACGACCTTTTCAAGAGTGTCGTTTGGAAGGTTTCGGCTAAAAACCTTGAGGTTTAGAGCGTTGTGAGCATCAGCTAGCTAGCTTGTACCTGAACCCCGCTACACCGAGCCTCAACCCTAAGCCTTGAGGGTGGGCGGTGAGTTAAGTAAGCAATTCGGAAAGCTGGGGGTTTGAGGGTTTAGGATTTATAGGGGCGTAGGGTGTAATGTTGTTAGGCTTCAAGCCCTTTGCTTCAAGGGCGTCTCTAGCAGGGTGTTGACGGCGTCGAGGTTTACGGTTCTTGCTATACAGAAATGAAATTAAGCGGGCTTTAGCATTTCGACTTTATGATTAAGTCTCCGGCTGGGTGCCAACCTTGGGTCTTTGAGGTTGAAGGCTTCGGGTCATAGTGTCGGAGCGGTGAGGGCTGTGAGATTCGATTTTTCGAGGTTTGGGTTCCAGGTTTAGGGTTTAGGGTTTAGGGTTTAAGGGTTTAGGGTTTAGGGTTTAGGGATTTTTTGGGCACTCACACTCGGGCAAGCCAGGCGAGGTCGGCTAGAGCTTAATATAGGGGGAGTGGAATAGGGCAATAGGGCTCTGCACATATTCTACTATAATTATAATCAAGAGCCCCCAAAATAGTATTGGAAATGCTATATTAGGGGATTCTAGGTTTCTAGCTTTGGGCGATGTCCTCCCAAAGAAGTGCCAACTGCTTCTACCCTTGGCACAACGGATGTGGCTGCCGGCCAAACAAACAGCGAAAAAACCCACTTCCAAGACATGCCAAAGAGCCCAACATATATATATATATATATATATATGTATATGTAAGTACATTTATGTGGATCCCTGCAAGCACATTCCCACATCCACCCCGTGAGGTGCAGCATCACTACGAACCCGAAAAGATCGTAGAGTATACTAAATCATACCTAAGCAGGGGCTATAAGATACACACCTTTGTAGAGCCCGAAGCAACTCCTATAAACCACCAGGCCACACCCCCGGCCAGCTCTTCCGTGAAGGTGAGGGTGACCATCGCAAATGAGGCTTTGAAGCCCACCGTCTTGTACAGCGCCCAGACGATGGAAGCCTGCAAGAGTAGGATTCAAAGGGGGAAAAGGAGGGACCCTTAATAGGGACCCCTACCCTATAATGGGCTATATAATGGATATATAATAGCTATATTAAGGGTATCCTTTTACCCTTGGAAGGATTCGCGGCTTAGGGCTTTTCGAAGTGTAAGTGCATAAAGGTTTGTGGCTTACTACCTTGTGTAGAGTCTGGGGTTTAGGGCTCAGGGCTTGGCGTTCTGGGGCTGTGAAGCTCTGCGTCAGGGTTTCTCCAGTTGAAGATCCAGAGGAAAGATATATCAGGCAGGATTTCTTCGGCATTCGGGATTAAAGATGCTGTTAGTAACGCTCGACTTGAGCTACTGCCGGTTACCATCATTATTGTTATTGGTTTGAGCTTCGAGTTTGTACGGTTTACACATCAGCTGGGTTTTCGGGCTTAGTTGTAGAGGACGAAGAAAAGTCGGGGCTCTCCTCTGAACCCGACGGGGCCCCCAACCCCGCCTTCTCGACGCTCCCAGCGCGGGCGACCTGGCAGTGCAAGTTGGGTTGGCATGTACGCCGGATTTAGGTAAGAATGTTTAGTCAGGGTGTTCAAGATTCAACAGGGTTTTGTAGGAGTGTTGAGGGGTTTCTAAGGCTGACCGTCTAGCAAGCTTAGCGTGTTCGGAATCTGGGCTTTACGAGTTTGTTTGCGGCTTGACAGTTGAAGGATTCAGGCTTACAGCGTACATTTATAGGCCCATGATGATCCCCAAGGGTCCAAGTACCCAATAGCCATATACTCTCTGAAATCGAAACCTACATAAATACTATCCGGAACCCATATACCCAATTACTGGGTCCTTTGGACCCTTAGCATGTTGTCAAGAGTACATATTTTAGCGCTAGTGGTCTCTCTGGGTTAGTCTTTAGAGCTTCAGGTTTCGGTTTCGAGCCTTTGCACTCAAGGGGCTTGGTCCGGGGGGGGGGGGGGTTCAGGGGCTCTTGGCTTCAGCAAGAAGCTTGTCTTAGAGTTTGACAGCTCAAGTTTGTCCGTCTATGCTTCGGTTAGAGGTTTTCAAGATGCACCTTAAACTACCATGACCATTGAACACACCCTACTTTTTTGTAGGTTCTGATTTCGTTGACCCTAACATAGAATTAATTAGGGACCCTACTGGAAAGCAGGTGTTGGTAGTTCGAGGCAGCGTTTAGCGGTTGACGCTTGCAGGATTTGTTGTTCGTTGTGGGTGCAGGGTGCGGTATTCTTTGGAGAGGTTCAGGGCCTTGCACTTGCAACTCTGGAAATCAATAGGGTTTAGGGTTTAGGGTTTTTCCATTAACCAGCCTTAAACAAATTCAAACTTTGAACCGTAAGCGCTAGATACTAAATATTGAGTCCCATAGACACTATATCCCTAAACCCTATAAGCCCTATGCCCTAAGCTTTAAGCCCCAAGACCCGCAAACTCTAAACCCCCCGGCAATAAGCCCGAAACGGTGAAAGCCCATTCCCTAAACTAAACCCTAAACCCCTAAACCCCAAACCCTAACCCCTAAACTCACCTCGTCCTCCCAATGCTTTCGGAAGCGGATGTAGGGCACAAAAGCATCGTCCTGAGCTATGTTTTCGATTCTCGATCCTTCCGCTTTCTGAGAGTTGAATCCCGAATGTTATTTTGGGGTTCAGGGTTAAGGGTTCAAGGTTATAGGGTTTAGGAATCAGGGTTAAGGGTTGAAGGTTTAGGGTAGATTCGGGCACTGAACGATTGATATGCTGCTTTTCCCACCTGGGTCCTCTTATCTTCCGCCTTCTTTCCAGATTCCAAGGAGTGGTTCTAGGGTTTAAGGCTTAGAGTTGAAGGGTCTCCCCGCCCACACGCGGAACCCCACATCCCTGAACGCTTAGCCCCTGCACCTCTACGCCCTAAATTCCGAATTCCTAGACCCGAGACACTAAACGCCTACAATATCATCTCATGTGCCATTGTCTTACCTTTGGTTAGTAGGGAATGGAAGAATGGTAGTAATAGTAGTTATAATTGTACCCCATTCCTCCATTCCCTACTAACCGATGGTAAGTTGTGCCAAGTCGTGCATTAAAAAACGAACTTCCTGAAGCCTGCGAGCTTCAGATCTGCCTTGGTCCATGTTAGGCTTCGGAATGTAGCTTTTAGGGTTTTACTTGGAAGGGCAGGGGACTTAGTAAGTAGGTTACAATTAGAGTGATAAGTACCCTAAACGGAGTTACCCCTAATATCACCCTGCTTATAACCTACTTACTAAGTCCCCTGCCCCTCCAAGTAGGGTTTAGGTCTAGACGCGTATGTTCTGGCATGCCAGGACGACGCTATCTCTCGGAGTTCGGGACTCTCGCAAGTGGTCATCCTCCCTAGATCCAGGGCGGGCCGAGGGGGTGTCTTGGGGTGGAAAGGGCTAGGGGGTCTTTAGGAGTTAAGAGTATAGTAGGGGGGGTCCAGAGGCCCAAACCTGAAACCCTAAACCCTGAACCCCTACAGTAAACCCTAAACCATCCTAACCCATAAATGAATTGGGCCCAAGCGGCCCGGCGATTGCATACAATCTCCTTGGCTCCAGAGGTCCGTGTTTCGCTTTTCTGGGCTCTTGTGCCGGGATGTCTTTTAAGTTACCAGCGGGCACCCTACAAGTCTGTGAATAAACAAGTAGAAGAACGAATGCAAGCATCGACACATTCGAGAAAACAAGTCAACGCATAGATATGAATGTGTGGGTATATACTGTCAGGAAACATGGCTGCCCCATGCTGGTAACGCAAGCTCGGCCCCTCTTAGAAATTCGGGCGCCTGGAGTTTCAGGGAACGAAACCATTGGGGACAAGACGCAGGTTGAGTCCTGAATTATAAGTCGAAGCCTCTTCGGGCTCTACAGTAAACCACTAACCTAGTATGTGGGCTTGTTCAGGCCCCCTGTCGGCAAAGATAGGTGCTGACAACCAGAAGAGGGTTCTTGGGGTGCGATACTGTCTATATAATATTCGAAAAGTAATAGGATATTCGTTATTCAGGCCTCCATTTTCATAGACACTCCTGCCGAGCTGCGTTATCATCGATGACGGAGTTCCAGTGCTTGCCGTATCCTGGGCTCAGCACCAGGCTGCTAAGCTTAGAGGGTCCTATGTACCTACACTTACCCACACGATAGTAGTACTGTACTTAAGGCTCTTGGGGCAGCTGTGCATCAACGTACCAACTTTAAACGGACTCTACCGCAGATTCAAACTTTCAACGTGGGCAACTCACTGCAGAGCCCTACTACGAAGGTACCATACGGCAACATTATAACACAGGACAGCAGAAGTACCAACAGTTCAAAGCGAATCCATGCCCCGACTGACCCACCTAACAGAATATGCTCACGGTTTCCCAGAATTTGGGGAGGATCCAAAAAGTAGATCCCTTAATGGGGTTTCCTATAAAGTACCCTTAGTAGTATAGGGCCCCAAATTAGGGGATCTACTTTCTAGATCCTCCCGGGGGTCTGGGTTAACATACTATTCGCTATCCCTGAACCCGAGACCCCCAAAAGGTTACGTATGGGAGTTTCGAAGAACAGGGGACCCGAATATAGCACCCTACCCTAAATAGCAGGATCTTGGTTATAAGGACCCCAAAATAAGGTACCCCTAATTTTCGGAAGCTCCCAGATGGATAAAGCCCCAAAAGTTTGCAAAAGTCTACATAAAGATTGCCTATACCATAATAGTGTACCATAATAGCCTACCATAGCACCCTAAATAGCAGGATCAAGGTTCTAAGGACCCCCAAAATAAGGTACCCCTAATTATTGCCCTAATTTTCGGAAACTCACATAAAGAATACCGATGCCATAATAGTGTACCATAGTAGCCTACCATAGTAGTATACCTGAAGGCAGGTGTCTGCCTACCAGCTCATCAACCCAGCCCAAGCTGACGTAGTTCATGAAGCCTTTCTCGTAGGCCTCAGGCACGAGGGTTCTAGGGTTTGGAGTGTAGGGTTGTAGGGTTTGGGGTTTAGGGTTTAGGCTTGGGGAGTCGGAGTTACAGGGTTTGGGCTGTACGATGTCTCGCCCTGAATCTAAACTGTGGTATGAGCGTCAAAGTTCTGGTCATGTAGGCATGCTGAAGATGTGTTACGAATTTGACCGATGAGGCCCGAAAGCTAAATCGCAAATCCACAAACCGCTCTCAAAGGGCTCCAAAGGCGGGATGAAGACAGGTGGGCTGCGCCCCAACTTAGAGCGGCTATGTAACGGATCCTTCATCCGACCTACCTTAATCCCACTTTTTGAATCGAAGCCCCTGACACTCGCACTGTCCGACCAATAATCCTTCATTGCAGAAAAAACCTGCAAAATCAGCATCAGGCTTTGACATCCCTCAGGCCCTCAGCGTTTAGGGTTCAGGATTCCGGGTTCAATGTTCAGGGGTTTGGAAATACAGGGGCAGTACAGGGGCTTGTTTTTTTTGCCTCCTGGTTTAGGATTCAGGGTTTAGGATGCCTAGCGTCATCCCAGACCTTCTTATATCTCCTAGTTTGAGGAATATACCTTCAATTGTCGTAGGATCCCTACTCGGTTTTAAAGTCTAGTCCTTACGTAAAGGATTTGGGAAGGTCTTTCCATCTAACTCAGTTGTTTGGATTTAAGGTATACCTTAACCCCAAATAACCTACCTTTTTCGGGACTTATATAAAGAAATCATATTAGGGGGGGCCCTAAAAAGGGTATATAGTTTCCTTAGGGTCCAGGCTGTCCAGGTATTCCTTAATTACGGGATTTTGCAAGGTCTGGGATGGTCCCGACGGACAGCCGACTGCTTGGAAACCCGGAACTTCGCCTTCTCGTCGTCGGCAAGTCCCATCTTCACCGTGTCCGAGTTTCGCTTCCTGGGGATGGAGTGCCCTAGCCCCAAAGAGGCTAGCCTTTTCAACTATAGTAGGATTATATTAACCCCAAAAAGCTAACCTTTTCAATTATCTGTCTGAAACACAGTGGGGAATGGGGGAATGGATCCCTATAGTAGTCCCGATAATCACCAATATTAGTCCCCATAATCCATTCCTCCCACTCCCTACTAAGAACCAGACAGTTATAGTAGGATTCTATAAACCCCAAAAGGTTAAAGGTTCCTACTCAGCTACCAAGCTTCCTTGGGATGATGGCGACGGCGTAGATCGACCTCAGCACGTCTGGGGATTCAAGTTGGGCCGGTAACGACCACGGCTCCAGGCATTCCGTGTCCCCAAATACATACACTTCGGCCTTAAAGCAGTCACTACAGAGGTACTTATATACTGTTTGTGCACATGTGCTGAGAATGCAAAGTCCGGGACCAAACGATGGCCGCCAGGACGATGGATGCCCAAATACAGGTGATCTTCCAGGCCAGCCGGTTCTCATGTTCGACACTGGCTCCTGGAAAGCTCCAACAAGCCCCAACCTCAAACCTTGAACCTTGAACCGTAACTACTCCAAGGCAGAGAGGTCGGCTCAAGCACGGATGCTTCTGGACTGCGAAGCTGCCAACTAGAGATACTTCCCAGACCTCCAAGCGAATCACCACAAATAGGGAACTGGGGCGATTCCTATAAAGTATCGCTGCCCAAAATCAGGGCTTCTACTTTCCGTTCTTTATCCTCCCCAAACCGCAAACGCCGAAGCCCTAAACCCTTAGCCGATGCCAGGATCGACGGTCCTTGCGAGAGAAGCTCCGTCAGCATCTTGATCTGGTTGAGCCCACAGTGCGGAAGCTTGTGGACGAAGCCTCGGTCACTTGAGGCGTGAGTATAGGCGCCTTGAGAACTAGAACAATAGGATTTTGCCGGGTCTAGTATGCTATACATGATTAGTTCACAAATTCGGATTAGGGGATGTGGGGGATGCGCCACTGCATTGCTGCTGTTGCCATTGCACCATTCCGATTGTTATGGCTATATCCATCCTAAGCAGCATTCAATTCCAGCTACACATTGTCAGATCCCTGAGGTCTCAAGAGTTTCTCCAAAAAAGGTTAATAAGCAAACAGCGTGGACTCAAGCCTATCAGCATAGAAGCCCTACAACAACCGTACCCCCAAAAGACCCTCAAGCTTTAAACCCACAGCCCTATTTAAACCCTAAACCCTTACCAGTGAACTGCAGCCTTGGGACCCATCCATTCAAAGGCCTTGAACTTCGCGGCGGTGGACACGTCGTACGGCACCTGGTGTCTTCGGATTTAGTGGCAAGGTCCTGAATGCTGAACATTTGTTATATATGGCTATATAACCCGTAATACGCAACCGTAAGGAACTTTGTTGAACAAAGTTAATGCTTCAAGGACCGGGCTTGGCGATTTAGGATGCTGGAGCTTGCAAGTGTGACGTATGAAAATGTCGAATTTGCGAGTTCAGAAGCGAAGCAAACTTGTATCGAAGAACCTGGGCCAACGGCCCAACGTGTGGAACCGACGCCATCCGCCCCCTGGGTTTGGGGATTAAACCCGCCAAGCCACCTCAATTCCGACAGCTAGACCGACGATTTAGGGACATGACCCTGTGGTAGCTCTGCTGAGAACTCAGATGCCAGCATTAGTCAAGAAGTTCCTGTTGCATGGCTTCAAGAAGTAGGAAGTCAGGAATATCATATTAGGTACAAATCGGCCCGATACTTAAACTCTAAACCGTAAGCATCTCTGGACTCCAGCACATCCCTAAACCCTATAACCCCTGAGTATCCCTTAGAAGCTGCCCCCACCCTGTAATAGTGACTATAAGGATTATATTAGGGCCCTATCATATTCCTATTATACCACTATTACAGGGTGGGGGCCCCTTCTAAAGTATCCCTTATGAGCCCTGAATCGTACCCCACCATGCCTCGACACCCAATGCCTCGCTCAGGGGGCAGTGGCCGTTGACCGCCGGCAAAACCCATGGACTCTCACCGTCGCCTTTGAGTAAGTTTAGACTTTGGGATTTGAAAGTTTGCGATGGGGTGCATTGAAGGCTTTATGATATGAACCAATGTATGTATTACAGTATGATATAGTACATCCTATTACCATATGGTTGGGGGATCTCGGTTTTGGAAGTTTCGGGGAGGCTAGGGCTGGGCACATCTTCCGGTTTGGGGCCATCGAAGGGCGACAGAAAAGAAAATGGGTTTAAGGTCTAGGGTTGAGGGGTACTTACTGGTCCAGCTTTTTGGTGAACTAGAGCTTAGCTGTACCGCTAAGCGCCAATTCGGGACCCCTGACTATGAGCCTCCTTTCTGCAAGGGCCTTAAAGCTATTTGGGGAATGGGCGTTGTCAATTTTTGGGTCTACATGTTGAAAAGCCAAAAGCCTTGTATTGTATTCCGCATTTCGACACATGGTCCCCGACACACCAAACTTTTCGGTGCAGTTTGCTGGTGTGACAGCACCAGACGACTAAAGCCCTTTTACATCTGGACTTGATGAATGCCCCCACTGAGCACAGAACCGGGGACTCTGAAGCCCTAAACCCTAAACCTCAACCCTACACCAGCGCATGCACCTTACATCTCCAAGCGTCATCCCTGAAGGCCCTAAAGCAAGAAACATGAGACTTCCAGACTACATGGAGCCCAGCCACTGGCCCTAAACACATGATCCGATGTTTTACCAGGAGCCCTTGTTCAAAAGAGGCTCCTGTCGACTTTACGATCATGATTCATAATGATATTCGGATATTCGTAATAATAATACCTATAGTTACTGAAGTTATAATAACAATAATTATACCTATAGTTACTATAGTTATAATAAGAGAGGCTCCTGCCGACTTTAAGACGAAATCCCAGGCAGCCGACTGAGGATTGTCAGGTTGGGCAAAAGGACTTCGGCCATCCTCTCACTGTCTGAAGCCTGAGGCAAAAGCGCTTCGGGAGTTTAGGTTTTTTTTTCTGGGGGGGTTTAGGGCTTAGGGAGTTTAGGGGTTTAGGGCTCAGGGTTTAAGGGTTTAGGGTTTACAGAAGGGGTCAGGGGTTAGGGGTTTAGGGTTTAGGGGTCAGGGTTCAGTTACAGGATACAGGACGCAAGATTTTCGGATCAAGACTCCGATTCGTGTTCAATAAATGTGTGGCTTCCCTATCAGGCTTTGCGGTTCAAGGCTCGGGTCATACTTTAACACGTCCAAAATGCTGAAGTAGATGCACTACAGACGCACGACACAGCAACGGTCTATGTTTCATGGCATGGATCGAAACATGAAGCGGCTTCAAGCGAGTACCCGCCGGGGTCCCTAAACCCCAGGCCCTGAAACCTCACATTCCACACAGTTCTCTCCTAAGGTCAGAAAGCAATTCGATTCGGATATGGAGCCCTTTACCTGGTATGGGAGCCTCGTTCGACACGTGGCTTTAGATATCGGGCTCGTAGGCTGAACGCTATAAGCCCTAAAGCAGTGCTCGAGAGCTAGGGTTTTGAGATGTTCAAGAATGTTCAGGAGTTTAGGGCTTTATCGGATGGTTTACAGTTTGGGTAGTGGGTGGCAATTCTAAGCCAAGCAGCTACTCGTTGCTCGCGCAGCTTCCAATGCCTTGCATGGGATTTGGGCGAATACAGAGGCCTTCGTCATCCGAATGGAGTCTTGGGGCATATCGATATCAGAACAAATAAATTAGAATTGTTACACAAAGGACCCCTCAGGGAAAGATTTTTCAAGCTTCTTTCTTAAGGTGCTTTTTGGCTTGCAACTACTGTATATTGTCCACCTGCATAAACTATGAATCCCACAAGACGTGCTCTATGAGACAATCAGCATCTGCATCCTTCGATTTCCAGAAATCTCGCAATCACAATGTAGACCCATGGTTCATCAACCCCTCTTCCTGAATAAGGATTGTAATGGGGCTCGTAATGCTACGGCCTTGAACCCTGTGCTTGTCCCAGCTTAAAGGGGTTAAGGCCGGGCTTTGAGGTCTTGGGTTCTACAGCTTCGGACATTACCTTCGATCCTCACGCAGAGTGAAGCTTTCCGTTGTCGGTCGTTGGAAGGTTTGCAGGGAAGAGCGGTTCTGACGGGTAATTAGAATCGCGTTTGACCGTTTCAGGAGGTGCTAGGAAGTGTGGATTGCGGTTTTGAAATCCTCACCCCTATGCATGTTCATTACATGGTCGTTGCTACTACTGCCACTGGCTCTGCCAGCATCATGAGCATCACTATATGTTGGTCCTTGTCAGCTTAATCCCGGATCTTCATCCCCAAAGCAGAGCAGGAGGACGACCCTGTAAGGAACCCTATGAGAAGTAAAGGCACAAAGATGTCTGGACGAATCCCAAAGCAGCTCGCTTATCGTCGGCAGCCTGGCAATCGACATCTGCACGACCCTAGGGGCTACAGGGTTTCGGGTTTCGGAACTGTAGGACTTTAGGGCTTGAAAGGCCGAACGAATGACGAACACGAACAGCCATGTAACATCGTCACTAGCTTGGATCATTCTAGCCACGGCCACAGGGCCGTAATGCAGGAGCTAATGGGAATGGGGTGTTGGTGTACGCTATACTTTAGCATGTGACAAGGAATCCCAACGAAAAGCATTGGTAACTATTTAGTAATTGTTCAGGCTTGAACCTTGAAGACCAACAGGCCCTTAAAAAGTAAGGGCCCTATCCCCATGTACTATGCATGTCAATATGGTATATGAACCTTAAACCCTTTTGGGGTTGATTTCGCCTTTAAGGAATATTATGCAGCAGGCTGGTAAGTTGATCAACCGACTTTGCTTGATGCTTTGTCCTCAAGACCCTCCATGTACCCGTATAGTATGCACTTGGGCCTTGAAGGGGTGCCTATATACCTACTTAAATGCCTAAGTATATACTATATAAGTACATCGAGCCTTAGGGCTTCGAACCCTGATCCACTAAACTGGAACTTTGCGGCATTTTACGCTCGTCAGAGAACGATGGAAAACACAGTGCTCACGCTGAGATTCATGCTCGGGTGTTTGGCATGAGCCATGCGTACGGGCATTTCTTGATGCAGAACACATACTTGCATTCAGCTCAACACTCGCGCAACATTTAGCCAACAGGCATTCCAATACAGGGAACATGGAACAACAGGCACTATTCTGTCTAGGTCTAGGCGGAATGCCTTCAAATGTCGAGTCTTCTCTTCCATTCTGAGGCACTTTATTTGTCAAGTGCTGGAGGGGCATGGCTCTATCTAGCTGGCGGAAGCCAAATCCTGCAAGTCTTTGAAGACCCGAACTCGTGATGCATGTATCTTAAATCCCTAAACCCTAATGCCATGCACCTAAAGCCGAAATGCAAACTTCTCAAGACCCGCATTCCGCAGCCTCTTCGCGCAGACACTGCCCGGCCGGGCAGGTTTGGGGGAGTGTCCTTAGATTGGCATTGTATCAGGATTTAGGGTTTCCGAAAGATAGGGGTACCATAGTTTTGGGGTCCTTATAATAAGAATCCTACTATTCAGGGTACTATGGTGGACGTAAAACAACCCGCCCCAGGTGTCTCCGTTGCGGTGGATTCGGAGTCAGCAACCGGTCTCACCCAGAGGCCTACGAGTACCGCGAACTCATGGACACCGCGACACCCTTCCTTTACTGTGACACCATGAGACCCCAGTGCTAAGAATTGGGTTTAGGGTTTAGGGGTTTAGGGTTTAGGGTGAATGCTGTCGGCCCGTCTCTCCACCTCTGTATGCCAACTTCGGAATCACCCATATGAAGCTTCTGGCTTTCCCAGACTGTGACTCCCGGAAGAAGCACAACTCCAACAAGTGCAGTTGAAGCTGCAGATTGGTAAGGAATAGCCAACATTCACAAGAAAAATCCTACACCCTGAACCCTTAACTCTAATCCAGATTGAAACCTTAGAGTCGTTTGAAGAGACGGCCTCCTCTGCCCTGCCCATAAGTCATTCCTATGACCGAAAGCACTGCAGGTCCGGACCCCGGTAAAGCCCGGAAAGCTCCCAGAGACTCCAATATCCCCTAATTAAGGAATATTCCTAATCATATTAGGATCCTACTATAATTTATGGAATATTCCTTAAATAAGGGATATTGGAGTCTCAGAGTCATTGATAATTGGGGCAACGGTGTAGGGTTTGGGTCTTTTCCCAATCGCATGGCCGCGATATGTGCCCACGCGCGTGCTTACTTAGGCGGAACAATATCCAAGACG